ACTGAGATAATAATAATAATATTGTTGTGTGAATATAATATGTAATAAGGGGGGGGGGTGTTATCAAGGTAATTACGGTCAACAAATTGGGAATGATCGATATGAAGATTAAGATATAGATAATGACAAATAATGATAATAAGGAAAATAAATAAAAATGAAGGAAGGAAGAGGTAAGAGGTTTATAATATTCAATCTAGGTATTAGGTGACTAAGTCGTAGGCCAGGGTAAACATAGAGGCTGGATATATTTTTTCTGGATGCATAAATTAGGTCTTCTGGAGTTGATCCAGATGGCTTCGGCTGTGTAAAGCAGTCGTAATATAGCTCCTTGAGGTAGATATTTTGGAACTTGATATAAAACAGAGAAAGCTTCCTCTATTTTGATATGATGTTCACTATCGACCAAGTGAGAAAGAATGGTGCTGTTAATCTATTTAGTAACTCCTTTTCCCGACTATGCTGATACATGTTCACGAACACGCAAGGATAAAGCCCTCTGAGTACGACCTATGTAACTAGCTGCACAGGAGCAGTTGAATTGGTATACACACATGGAGGAGCCCATCTTCGGTAACTTATCCTTGATTAGTTGTGTGAGTATTGGTTTAGTCGAGAAAGTTATGTGTAACTTGGCGGCATGAAACGTCCTCTCGACAGATCTTTTGAGTCGACGTGTTATAATATCACCCGCTGTGTCGCCTTTAAAGTCAAGTTTCAGATATAAGGTCTTTTTACTGACTGTGTCGCAATGTCTTCTCTTTTTAATACTTTGTACGAGGTATTTTTTTGACGAAATTATCAGGATAGCCATTATTACGTAATGTGTTCTTTAGTATAACTATTTCTTCCTCCACACTGTCTTCAGAATATAATAACTTGATTCTGTGTTTGAGACACTTAACCAATTTTATTTTATATTGCAGAGGTGTGAAGCTTTGGAAATGGGTATACTGACCCGTCCATGTACACTTTCTAAACATATTTCGCTTTATGGAACCATCTATCCTTCTAGAGAGTCGGACATCTAGAAATGCTATGCTATTGTCCTTCTCCTCCTCGCTGGTGAATTTAATGGCTGGGTGGACATTATTGAAAGCGTCTAACATCTCCTGTTTGTCGATATTTTCGTCACATATGATTAATGTGTCATCTATGTATCGACAGTAATAATCAAGCTTATTTAGGATGTCTTTAAGCGGTCCATTTTCTAGTTTGGTCAGAAAAATATTAGCAAGGATCGGGCCTAGAGGTGATCCCATTGCTACCCAATCCACTTGTCGGAAAAATTCATTGTTAAACTTAAAGTAGATATTCATAGTGCATTTCAAGAGAAGTTCTTTCGTTTTATTTATTGGGATAGGAATCTCTATTTTCTTTTCTATCAGTTGTTCACATATGTAATCTATAGTTTCAGTCAGAGGTATGTTAGTGATCAGCCCTAATGGGTTGGTGTCTGACGAAATCTGAGCACGGATTCGAAAAGCTCGCTTGGCTTTTGCCAACTTGAGTCATCTTCGGCGAAGGCGAGATATCCGTCTATCAATAAAAGGACGGGTATACTGCGTGGCAGTCCGTTCTGTTTTACTTTACGGTAGCGAAACATGGCCATTAAGAGTAGAAGACACTCGTAAGCTATTAGTATTTGACCACAGATGCCTCAGAAATATTGCTAGCATCTGCTGGGATCACCGGGTAAGTAATAGTGAGGTTAGACGTAGGGTATTAGGGAATGATGGTAAATCAGTTGATGAGGTTATGAATCTTCATCGACTGAGATGGTTGGGCCACGTGTTACGTATGCCTGAACACCGACTACCACGACGTGCAATGCTATCCGGTATTGGAGATGGTTGGAAGAAAGTTAGGGGCGGCCAAACCAAAGCGTGGCATCAGTCCTTGAAGACACTAACTTCTAGTCTGAGCCATGTTGGTAGATGCAGACTACTTGGTTGGGGTCCGCATGACTTTCGTAACCAATGGTTGGAGACTCTTGGTGACATGGCTCAGAATCGATCACAATGGCGTCGGTGTATACACTCCCTGTCTTCCCTTAAACTAAGAGATTAAAATCACTTCATATCTTTCCTTCTACGAACCAATTCTTTCTTCTTGTACTATATCTCTATATGCAATCTTTCTCTTATATATTACCACCTTTGACCTAACCACTGATATGAATCCGGTATTCATCTTGTTGTGCTGATACGGTATGGCAACCTGGACCGATGCACATATGTGCCTGGTCCTACGTTGTAGCTGACTGACTGACTGAAAGATGTTATGTCCAGTGATAGCATGGTTTTTCCCTTTATATTCATATTTTTAATTGTATCAACAAATTCAAAGACGTCTTTAACATTATGCTTAGCAAGTTCTTGGTTGACCTTTATTATTTTTCATATTATTTTCATATAAACATGTCTCTTACACATTAATGCAAATACCTATTTATAAAAAAATCCTTCACGTTGATTGAATGACTTATTCAGTATACAGTAAACCGAAGAACCATGGTACCTATTTATATTCGATAATTTTGTTGTTTGATTATATTTTTTCCTTGAAAAAGCTTGGACCAGATTGCCAGGTGAAACGTTGGATTTACTTAAAATTGATTCGCTGAGATTTTACAAATATATTCTTCTTTTTTTAATGTCTCAAATTAACTCAGCGCCCAAATATTGTGAAACTATTCGTTCAAATTTAGACGAAAGTTCTTATTTAAAACAAACGTTGTATACTATTGATCACAATGAAATGTTATATACATATGATGAAAACATTTATTTGTACTACCTGAAATCTTTGATTATATCAAAGTCTCAATGTGTTAGGAAACGAAGAGAAAGTGTCTTGACTAAAATTAATTGTAATTAATTAGATATCAAGTTCTTATGTTTTATATGTACTTGTGACTAAGGTTTTACTTTTTATAGCCTGAAACATAATATTCTCACCCATGTACACACAAGTGTTAATCGATCAGAATAATTAGTAGAATGAAAACATTATGAAAGATTTGTAGCATATGTATAGATATATGGAAAAATGACTTGTTATTATTCTGCTCAAAGTCAACATATATTACTACGACATACCAAGCCATTGAGTACTCAAGGTTATGCGGACAATAAATGATTGAGAAGATGAGAAGCAGGTCTCGAATTCTGGTAAATGTTTGTCTTGTGGCAAATTTCACTTATGTAATTCATGCGTATTTTGTAATGCTAAATTGGACATATACAAGCAATTTGTAATACTACTATTCATTTCGTTTTAACTAATGCTAAACTTTATAATCCTGATAATACTAAGTTGAATGTTTCTAATGATCATTTATCTTTATCCAGGAACTTGAAAAGCAGTACGGATTCACATAGCAGTCCAGAATTAAATGAAGCTTTGATAGACTCGCATCACTTTCAAACTGAACTCCAGTCAAAACAAGCTTGTTTCACGTAATATTCACTGAGGAAGTGGGAGAGACTCATATTCAGAAAATAATTGGCGCAGCACAATAAATGCAAGTGTATCAAATGAAATTCAGAATAATTATAAGATAAAAGTTTCTAATGAATCGACTTCTTATCAGATTTCTCGTGTTATTTTACTAGATATGAATTTTCCTGATGTTTCACATATTTTTGATGAAGATTCTTTTAAAAATGAGAAAAGTATGTCGAATGTATCAAATCACAATCGGAAATCTGATGCAATTTTGATAGATGCCAACTTTTCTAATGATCCATTGTTCTCCAATGAGATTCTTAATAAATCTGAAGAAAGTACTTCAGAAGTATCAAATCCTTATGATGTCATATCAAATAATTTTTGTCTGCATAATATATTTGTTTGTGGTAGAATACTTAGTCACTATGAGTCACAAATTCTATGTGAACTCAAACGTACATTTCGGATGATCCCATATCAAGTGTTATTTACCCTCTCCATGAAGTCTCTTCTAATGAATTCTCCAGTCAATTTGTGAAATATGTTTTAAATAAAATCATATTATTTTCAGTTTGGAGATATAGCGTTAAATAAATCCCCAAAACAAATAATTCTTTAAATATTCAACATATACAGAACATACCCGATTGAATGTACTCGGTCACGTATCCGCACCAGATCACGAGTGGGTACGCCGTACTACGCATCCTTTTTAACTGTTAGCCCGTCTAAACCAATCGTTCCTCGACATACCAATAGCCTTCCGAATACATCTTCGAACTCCCTTATTTTTGACCTCTGATTTCACTGGGTTCGCATACTCCGATTCTAAAGGTGTTAAGGGTAAAGGCGTTATCAAACTCTGAATACTTGCGGCATCTTTAGGGATTCGAATACCCAACATTATTTCGTGGGAGAGGTCAACACTGGTAAATCTATGGTTCTAGTTCCAGTTGTCAGTGATCTAATTATATGCAACCGACAAGTTAATCAAATACAATTCCAGGAACCAGGTGAGTTTGTTCAAATTTCCATTGTTAATTCTACTACTTATAAGTGCATTCTCGACCATACAGAGCCTGCATCCAGCATACAGTTGGACAGACACGATGAACCTAAGGAGTGCAATCGATTATATAAATTCGGACTTCTATTCAAGCTGTAGAAGTTGTGGTATTTGTACAAACTAATGATTCATTTGTACTCGATGACTGCTTGTTTTAAAATTCCAAATACGATACGTCCGTTTGTGCTCATTTAAATCTATCTGGCTTAAATTGTACTGTGTAGGGAATTCCTAATTAGTACAATAATTTGAATACTTCTAATAATAATAATTAGCTTTTCTGTTAGATCACAAAATAACAGGTAAATGAAAAGCTCTAATATCGGTTATTGATTTGATTTATACTGAAGAGAGATGGTGAGATTTAGTTCCTGATTTCATTCATTATCTATTCTCTGGCTCGGTGGCGTTATAAAATGATGAAATAAAATAAATCAAACAGGCCAGTATTTCGGTAGCACACATTTATTAACGTAAATACATGTTCAGTGACGTGAGTGGGAACAATAAAAATGAGCCTACTCAACGAGTAACTGGTGAGTCATTGTTATATGTGATTGAACATATGTAATTTGCCGGTTACAACTAGTTTATGGATCACAGAGACTCAATGTTAGCACAAACAAAAGGGTATATGATATAACTAATGATTACACAGATAGTAAAGTAAATTGGAAGTATGCTGTTCTTTTTCCTAACTGATTTTTCTTGCAAGTTATCATTATTTATTCTTTTCCTGTGGATTGTTGATTATTACTTAAAGTATATTTTTTTTCCATTATGTGCTTGTCATTTTTACATTCGACTACTTCATGATAGACTGTTGTTATTATCCTGACACCCTAAATGTAAGCTTACGTTGAAATAAATATTATTTATTGTATAACTATATAACACTTGTACACGATAAATAAAAACATGTTTCCTAGTAGCTAAGGCAGTCTTTCAACCCATATAGATCTCAGGTGAGTTACTAAGATAAATTTAACAGCGTCATAAAATACTTGACTAAGTAAGAATGATGCACTTAATGACAAGATAAAGATAGCCTACACTGAAGGGTGCTAAGAGCTGCTTTAAAGCCATATAAAGGACGGGTGCACGTCAACGTGGAAAAAGCATATTATCCACTCAATTGAAAAAAGTAACTCTACATTCAATTGTTATTCAGATTTAAGATGGCTTCCGTGCTTTTGTGATTATTCACTGAAGAAAGTTAAGATTACTTCATGACTAAAAACCTGTGTCCGTAGCTTAATACATGTACCATGTGAGTAAGACTGATCCTTTTTGGAGTGTCTGTCGGCAAGATTAAATTTTAATTATTTTATGTTACTCACAATCTCTTAGAGAATATATAAATTTATGTATATGTAGACACGTATAAATGATGAGTGTTTCTGTAATAACCTTCTGAGTGCTACGCTTGCCTTAGTCTGTTTTAACAATCCAATGACTTTGTTAACGATGAGACGGAACAAATGAATGCATCAATAACGAATAAATTATGATAAGCAATCTGTGTCGATTATACGTTCAACATTTTACAATGGTTAATTACTGATCACAAATCAATATTATATATTACCATATATATTTATCACTGTTATTTGATTTTTACTTAAATATTTATGGTGGTTGAATGAACTAATGATTCCTCTGTACTTGTTAAATCCTTTATTTCGAATTATAAATACAGTACATTCGTTCGTGCTTATCTACCACTTCTTGATTGAATTGCGTTATTTCTGAGATTCTTAGTTCATACTATAATTCAAACACTCCTAATAATCATATTGGCGCCGCGATTGAGCCTGTGGTGGAACGGTTGAACATACATTCAGATTTCGATGCTATTCAGGATTACTTCTAAAGGTTCGAAATTTGGACTATGACTAAGGAAGATGATGAGGATGTTAATATTGTAGCACAGTTCCTCACATTCATCGGAAAAGAAGCATATAGCTTATTAAGAACTCTGCCTTTACCGGAAAAATCCATTTCGCTTTCTGATGCAACTCTCAATGATCTACGGCTAGACTATGTTAAGTATACAAATTTCGAATGTGGTAAAGGAGGAAGATTTCGTAAAATGATTCATGAGGATATAAAGCATTCCACTACATTACTACGTCATCCCAACCCAGTGCATACCCAATGTTATGCAGATAATTCAATGATGAGTTGCGATGCAGTTCACGAAGCTGGGCACAAGTTTGGTCAATGTTAGTCCTGTGGCAAGTTCTACCCTTTTAATTTATGTAAATCTCGTAATTCTAAGTGCTTTAAATGTGGTGATATTGGATATATTCAGTCAGTTTGTAATACTACTGTTCATTTTGCTGAAACTAATATAAAGTCTTGTAATTCTGATTCTATTAAATCCACTGTTTCTAATGATCATTTAGCTTTATCAATGATTTCAAAAGACAGTGTAGATTCATACAGCAGTTCAGAGTCAAATGAAACTCAGAATTCTTGCGAGACAATAGTTTCTAATCAATCGACTTATCAGATTTCTCATGTTATTGTACCAGATATAGTTTTTCCTATAGATTCATTTATTTCCGATGAAATTTCTTCCAAATCTGAGGAAAATATGCTGAATGAACCTAGTCATGATCGAAAACCTGATTTTGATTACAGTTCTGATGATTTCATATCAACTGTTGTTCATCCTTATCACGAAGTCACTTCTAGTGTTTACTCTAGCCAATGTGAGAAATATGTTTTAAATGAAGCCACATCATTCATGAATTGTGGATATAAAGATGCAACATTATTTTGTGTGGGAGGATAGTCTAAAAGTGTGTGGTTCAAATTCTAGTTAGTATCGGTTTCAGTACTCAACCGACATGGTGATTGTACACAATCCCAGGAAGCAGGTGAGTCTGTTCCGATTTCGGTTTTTAATTCTAATACTAATGAGTCCATTCTATATAATAGAGTATTTATCCAATACATTGTCGTACAGACACAGGATGAACTTGAGAAGAAAACGAACAATCGATTACAAACACCTAGACTCCAATTTAAGCTGTGGCGGATGTGATGTTTGAATGAACTAATGATTCCTTTGTACTTGTTGAATGGTTGATTTCAAATTCGAAATACAGTACATTCGTTCGGGCTAATCTAGTCTTTCTTGATCCTCTTACGTTATTTCTGAGATTCTTAGTTCATATTATAATTCAAATAATTCTATTTATCATAATTTTACATACTTCTTACGTACTAGAATGATAAACGAATTTGTATTTTTAATGAATTTATGTTATGTGTACAACATCTATGTATTTTTATAAGCAACAGCAAAATGTGAGTACGTTTTAAATTTATATCTCGTGCTGTAAATTCAGAACAAACTTGATTTCACTAGTTGAGATCACGAGTGAGTTGAAGCTAGACCACGATGGAAAACGTGGAAGCATAGGATGGCCGTTTCGTACTATTGTGGGACTCCTCAGCAGTGCGCATCCACGATCACGCCTGGCGGGGTTCGAATCCAGGACCTATCAGTTTCGCGCACGAGCGCTTAACCACTAGAGCATTGAGTCGACATTCAACGGTATTAATGTCTAACTTCAACTAATCCACGAAATTGAATGATGCATCTAGCATTGTCATCGGTGAGTTACTACCTCACAACTGATAGGTCCTGGGTTCGTATTCCGCGAGGCGGTGTCGTGGATGAGGACTGCTGAGGAGTCCCAGATAGGACGAAACGGTCATTCAGTGCTTCCAGGTTTTCCATGATTGTCTAGCTCCAATTGACTCATGATCTCGACTATTTAAGTTACTACAATCTCTACAAAATCCCTTCTGATACAAAGTAGATAATGGAAAAAAAGCTCAACCAAAATTAGTGTTTGAGAACTAAGTAATATGAGAAGCTTATTTGTCCTCGACTGAGATTTCATCTAATTACATCTCAAGTGCTAAACGCTTATGACATATGAACAACAAATATTATGAAGTGAGATTGTTTCATTTTCATGTCGTCCAGCTCTTCTGCATCAACATTAATTTTTTAAAGTAATTTCACTAACAAATGCTAAGTTCCATGACGTTTCCGTCTTAATAAGAGTGGAGTTTAGTGTTTCGCCTTGATTTCTCGAAATAATCGAGTGATTTTTTATTGTACATCAAGATTTGATCTAGTACTTGTGTTATGTGTGGTGTGTATATAAATAATCGAAAGGAATGCTTTTGTAGGCTTATATATTGACGCTGACTTTATAAATCTAACTAGTCACACCACACGTAAGAGTCATACCGTGAAAAATCCACAACAGTTCACGTTCAGGTTCTTAATTCTTAGCATCTCTTAAGATATCTAATAAAATTATATTCCACACAGTATGAAATTTGTTCACAACTCTCCGTTGTTGACTACTGGCTTGAAGTTCCTTATCAAAAATTGTATATTTGTGGCATCTTCACTATTATTAAGACTTCTGATGTCTGGAAAGCTTCCCACTGAATTAAAGGCGTGCTACACAAATACTCGCAGCCTACAAAATAAAACGGCGGAGCTCAAGACGACATTAGATATAGAAGAATTGAATGTCACTGCTGTCTCGGAAACATAGTTAACGTCAGAATTGCTTGATATTGAAATACAGTTGACTGGATTTTTTTACCTAATTGGGCTGATAGTCTAAACCGTAGGGGATGTGGGTTTATCCAAATTTGAATTACGGAGACCCTCGTCTCTCTTGGACTTAGTCCACACACGGTAGTGATGTCGGTCAAATGACTTTACTCCTATCCCTTGGGAGAAGGAATCGCGCAGTCATCTTATCCAAGCTCATGTCAGAGATGGCCTGTCAAACAGTTGCGTCATCCCATCCTAATATATAGATGGCAGACATCGAGGTGGTAAACTCTGCAGCACCGACTGAGAACTAGATAATTGTCTCAGATGCATCAGTAAAAGAGGCATGGACTCATTTCGGGCAGTTACACGGTCAAGTAACTCAACCATATATACCCTGGACAGTCCCGAACAAGAAGAAACACGGCCATCCCTGGATAGGCTGTGATATACGGCGTTTACCAAGACAAAAGAAGAAATGTTGGAACATCACCATCAGCCTTGACACAGCAAGTGCAATGGAACACCACACCTCGGTTGGAAATTAGCGTATAATTACAATCTACGAAGCTCAGTGAACACATGAAATGCAGTCGGCCTCATTTGTATTCATGCAACCTAAGAGAGTATTTCCGTACATAAATTGCAGAATAATGACCGAGCACTAGATACTCAATTTATTTACGAAAAGGAAAGAATTTAAAATGATAGAATATGATCAGGTAAAAGTAGAGGCTATGGCAGACTATTACAGGAGAGTTTTCACTAAGCAACCTCTTGTAGACGGAGAATTAGACCCAAATATAAAGCCGAAACATCGTCTACTCACAGTGAATTTAGATCGTGACTATGTGCTTAGGACCCTTAGCACTTTAGACACGGAAAAATCAACAGGACTGGATGAACTAGACTCTAAAAACTCGAAACCAATTGCAAAATATATTGCTGCATCACTGACTTTGATATTCAATAAATCATTTGGTCGGGGTGAGTCGTCAACGGACTAGAAGAATGAAGTCGTCAGTTCAATGCATTAAAGCAAGACCAAGACAATTTCCATCGAACTACAGACTTGTCAGTCTCTGAAGTGTTGTGGTAAAATACTGTAAAGATTATTCAAGATGACTATGATGAAATTCATGGAAACCAACAACTTGTTAGTCAGTGAACAACATGATTTCGGAAAAGGTTTATCTTGTACACCGAACCTCCTCATATCAAAGGACCAATGAATAAAGGCTCTAGATAGTCGAAAATCGGTGGATGTTGTCGGCATAGACTTCAACAAGGTATTTGACAAGGTGCAAAAAATAAATAACTCTTGAGGCTGGAAAATCTGGGAATTCCTGGACTAATTTTAACGTGAGTCAAGGATTTCTCGGTAAGCCATCGACGGAGAGTAAGAATAAATTCCAAGTGTTCCTTCTGGTACTCAGTACTCAGTGGATTACGACAGGGCTCTTTCCCAAGTACTCAGCTTTCCATAGTATAAGTAAATGAACCTCCTGATATAGTTGGGTTCCCGAAGCTACTATACGCTAATGATGTGAAAATCTATCGAGAAATAACGGGTGACGCATGTACACTTCAGGCAAAATTAAGTATTGTGATATCTGATGGCTGATGCCTATCAACACGGCAAAAAATGTTGACATGCTCCCTGTGGATACAACGGTAAATAGGCATAGCATAGGTGAAGTGTCTATACCCATGGTCCGGTCTCACGAGAAACTTAGGGTGACAGTAAGTCATGATCTTAAGATGACGGCCCACTGCCGGGAGGTTGCAGCTAAGGGGTTTGGAACCCCATGGGTTTTAAGACGGACATTCACCAAGTTAGATACTACCATGTTCAATGCAATATACACAACCTTAGTGAGAGCTAAGCTTTAAAACTTCGTTCAGACTTCAAGACGCTGTTTAAAAGGTGACTTGATTATCCTGGAAAAAGTACAAAGGGCAACTACCCGTACAATTCCAGAACTTCGTGGCTTAATATACAAAGAGCGGTTTGAAAATCTAGACGTTTTTACTCTGTCCTATCGCATACTGACAGGTAATCTGATTTTGATACATACAATGATAAGAAATGATTTAAGTCCTAAAGTATCCTCTTTTTTTCTTTCCACTAGATGGAAACATCTCACAGGACGTAACAGGCGAGTAGAATAGTCAGGAACGAACAACACACCCGTGGCATACAGGTTTTTATACCGAGTCATCAATTCTTGAAACGTGTTACCCGAAGCAGTGACGTCCGAACCTTCGAATGGCTCATACAAGAGAAGACTGGACACTCACAAAAGCATACTAGAATAGGAATAAAATGGACTGTAAGCCTTCTGTCTTTACTACACAAATCTGAATCTAAATCGAAGGAAGTACAAAAACTGAAATCGAATCGTCTACGTCTGGAGTTTCGTTTCTCGCACCAAGTAGTGAAGTAGAAGAATTCTCTACCAGAACTTGCAATACCAGCATCTTCTATTGATATATTCAAGACGAGATTAGACCTCCACTGTGTTACAAATTGCAACGATTATTATAGTTCGATAGACCTCCTACCGTGTTACTGAAGACTGAATCTGACTCCACTTTTTGAAGTTGCACGTTACGTTCGTGTTTGTCTTAAGGTCATCAGGTATTAAACTGGAAAAACGTTTGGTATAACTGTTACTGTACTGAAAAGCTTCCCGTTATGTAAACCTGGATTAGAGTTCCCTATTCACAGGACACTTTGTGCAGCAGATGTGTCATAGCAAATCGCATCAACAACTTTAGTTGTATTTCCATGCCAAGAGGTTGTTATTATATTCAAACACAATATTACGCAACGGCAGAGATCATTTATTTTGGAAGGTTCTGTAATGACGATCATGATATTTTTTGAACCAATAGAACCAAAATAAGTTAGTCTCAGCGTACGTACGTCCCGTTTGTATTTTGTGGTTGAAACAGTAAGAGATAAAAAAAAGAATTTGAACCATGTGTTATCTAACAGATTAACAGTTCCTCCTCATCTATATTTAATGAATTAGCCGTGGTTTCGAACAAATAAGCTTTCATTGATGCAAAAGCGAAAACTACTTTTCATCAATTTCCCAACTGTTTTCTCCCATATATATATATATATATATATATATATATATATATATATATATATATTCTTCTCGATTGCACTCTTCAGTATATACATATATATGTGTATGTTCATAACAGAAAACTTGTAAACGAATGATCAAACGTACTACTATGCGTTGACACATAAAAAGCTACTTTTCATATAGCCGTAATCCTGATCTATCTGTTTCAGATCACCTTTGACCTTGGTTGTTATTCAGTCTCATTTTTGTGTGTATGGAACATAATTTAAGTGTTATAGGCTAAAGGTATTATTCCGCGATTCGTTATGTTTGGTTTTCCAGATGTTTTTCGCAGTAATAACTGTGATTGATTGATAAGTTGTGAAGTCAGAGATTTTATTAAGTCTGTGACCCACTGATTCGAAGTAAATTATACTTCAACTTGCATAGAAACAAAAAAAGGTTTATCCGTTCAGACAATCGCACTTTTGAGCCGTGTACTGTCTACATAGTGCTTCTGAGTTAACTTACATCTGTCAGAACTGTTAAATTTAGTGTGACGAGATTGCTGTCATTACTTACATGTTTTTCATCAGATTATGGTATGTCTCATAGTATTGTCACAAATACCGCTGTTACAGATATAGATTGTCGGGCAGCCACCAAACATCTTGACTTCTCAGTATTTAAGACTCTAAAATTCAGTCTCATATTATTTATTCCTGTTACCCCTTGTGGTCGAGTGTAGGCCGCACACTAGTATTCTTCATCCAATTCTGACCCGGGCAATCTTTTCCAGTTGCTTTTCATTCTTTTCATATCTGCTTCCAATTCTAAGTTCAGTGTCTTCTGTGGTCTTCCTTTTTATGTTTCATCTCAGGGTTCCAAGTTTACGCTTACCTCATGATGCAGTTTGAGGATTTCCGTAATGTATGTTCTGTCCACCTTCAGTGTCTTTTCCAAACCTCCTCTTCAGCTGGAAGTTGGTTTCTTCTCTCGCACAATAGTTTGTTGCTGGTAGTATTCGGCAAACAGAATTTGGAGTATCTTACGTAAACAATCGTTTATAAATACTTGTACTTTATCAATGTTGATTGTAATAGTTCTGCAAGTTCCATCTCCGTGCAGTGGAACTGTCGTGATGTTCGTGTTGAATGTTGTGAGTCCGATGTTGACTGACAGTTGTTTTGAGTTCCATATGTTCTTCAACCGTAGGAATGCTGTCCTAACTTTGCCAGCCCTTGCCTTTATATCTGCATGAGATTCTTCTTGTTTATTGGTGGTGCTGTCAGGGTGCATGAGTTTCCACATCCTGCAGAGCTTCTCCATTAATTGTAGTATGATTGATGCTCTCTTTGTTGTGTTTCTGGACCTTGCTTCTTCCTTTGTGTATATTGAGGCATACACTAACTGCCTTCACTTGCATTTTTTGTATATGAGATAGAAAAACTAGGTCACTTTCGAATCCAAATCTTGTAGGTGTATCTAAGCTGTCTTTGTATCCCGTGCTTCTTCTAAGATATAGAGGTCTTCATGTTGAGCCTTATCGCTCCAGAGGCTAGCTATCTTCACCTGCATCTTTTGGTGTGTAGAAAAATTTATTCAGTCTCATATTTTGATTTGTAATACACATTCTACACCTTTTCTGACAAGCATCAGTTGCTGGATAATCAAAGAGTATCCGTCCAACATTTTATATCACTCTGAGTCAATTTTGTCCGCATACTCGGAGTTAGAGTTTTTATTCCAATCACGTGAAAGTGACGAAAATGGCAAACAGAGTCAGTTTAATCCAGTCTCGTGCTAGTTTCAAACCCATTGAAAAGGTTGTTTTAATTTTTAACTATAAAAGCAATATCTTCTAGCATAATAATCAAGTTTTAACTATATCAATCCTAGCATTTTGAAGGCAAACCTGATCTTCTAAGGCACTTGTTGTCTCATTGCACCGTGCTTGATAGTTATCACATCTATAACTTTGATATCAAGTTTTTATACGAATTCGTCTACCTTTCATCCTCACAATTTCTGATAATACTTGGATTTTCTAGGTGGTCTAAACCACGTGTTAATTATAATAGGAATGCTGCTAAACGGAAATAGAAGAGGTTATGCTCTCGACATTATTTTACGCGTTCAATTTTGTTGAAACGGTGCTTTTATGCTATTGGAAATTTTCAGCCGACTAATTACTCTTTTATGATAAGAGTAACGAAGAGAACTGTTAACCAAGATTTTGTGTAGATTAATTACACACCAAGGACTGCAAGAAATGTTTTCTTCGATGCATATTTCGTTCAGTAATATGCAGTTATCGTTCCCACAGTAGAAAATGTAAGCATTCTCTATAGGCATAGAGTTTTCCTCTGGAAATAGAAAACTGTTAAAGTGTTATCCTCAAAGGCTTTTTTTGTATATAACATTTCACTATTTATCATTTTTGTTTCATAGTTTATGCACTATTGTGTGGATCTTTAATGGTCGTTAGATTCGTGATCTAAACAACAGTTTTTCAACATCACTTCATTCTTATTAATTGGTTTCCTGAATCAAAGTCATCGCAAAGGAATTTAACATGTCCAACCCAATCAAACATGGTGTTACATTTTTAACCAGAGAAGAGGCTCACTCAACGTTGCGTTTAGAAGACTACTACGATATCGATCGTAAATTTTCAAAGCCTGGATTTCGAACTGAAGATGGCCAGTTCAATTGGCATTGCTCTTGTGTTAGTTCATACATATCCGGTCCTTGTGGATACTTCTTTCGAAATTTTATGCAGAATATTGACAAATTTTTAAAAAGTGAGGACGCTTTTGAAAAACAACAAAATCGAAACTTGTTTATTCAACTTCATTCTCAGTTATTAGGGTGTTTAAAAGCTCATCCTGTATATTATAAATCATTCATGGATGAGTATGCTTCACCGTTAGATAGTTTGATGAAAGATGTAGAATAGAATAATAAAAAACCTTTGTTTCTGTATTTACTTTAAATCTCACTTTGCAACAATCAATTTTTACTTTCAGTAGTTACCGACTTCTAAATGGCGTGTGAAGAAAGATGCGGATATTTTATGAAGGAAAAAAATAAATTTTGTCATCAACTTCGCGCTAAGGGTTCAGATCGCTGTTTTTACCACATTAGCGTTAGTGTTCGATATTTTGTATAATTGCAAGATTTAGGAACCATCCATAGCTAAAATGGCTTGTCCAATGGATCCAACACAGTAAGCTCTTTTTTTTCAAAATCAATGTCCTCTCATAGTTTCGTCAGCCCTTCAAATCTTAACAAACACTTGAAAAAGTGTAGTAAGCGGCGTAGAGTTAAGGTTGTAAGCTGTTGTTTTATCATGTTGAATGATTTTCAGGTATATGATGTGACTGGAATCAATTCAGCCAACTTATGTGATCGTAAAATTGTTCCAAAAATGTCGCTAGCTGATGTGTCTGCATTTACAACGTTACGGCTGATAGCACGTTTAGAAGAATTGAGTACAGGTCAGATATGATTTCATGTAATGTGTTCAGTGTTTGTTTCACATTTCGTCTTTTCCTCTCGTTCTATGTTTAAAACGATGACCAGGCTGGTTTTAGACGTATATGTGTCGGTCAAACATTCACCATTCGTTAGGTTCTGAAACGTAGACATGTATTCTAACTCTCGATTGTGGTTTGCTTCTTAACTTAAAGGTATCGTTCATCCCCATCGATTGACCTCTTTCTCAAGACAGTATGTTTCATTGAAAGTCAAATCAAACGCTTACATGACCCGTCTGAAGGTTCTTCTTTTAAATATTAGCCAAGTTAGAGCTTATGGTGTACTGTCACCAGTATTGGTAACACCGTACAGTGTTCGTCAGAGTTGCTCATGTTCCTCATTCTAATTTAACTTTGTCATCGAAACATTCGGAACCAATACTTTGTCTAAATTTTCAGGGATTTATCCTTACCAGGAGGTTCGCTTATCGACTTCGATGACGTAGTTCTATTTGGTAAACGGGCTCATATACAAGTCGTTCGATTGTCTTGAGTAACAAAGTTTGTTTTAGGTGCGTCTTTCTCTAAACACATGCTTTTCTAAACTTTCATGCATCATCCTCTAGATCGGCCATAGTGGGTGAAGTATTTGAGCTGTTTGACCACTTCACGTCTTGAAAATCCCATCAGGCCAGATCATTTGGCGCCTAATAAAATCTCAGCACGGATTCAGAAGGGCTAATTGGCATTTGCGGGTTATATTAATTGTGGCTTAATGAAGATTCCTGTCTATTGATCAGAGGATGAGCGTGCTTCATGACAATCTTTCTGTGTACTACTCTACAGCTGTGAAGTATATCCTATGAAAGTAAACAGTATTCATGCTGGATTTCCATTTTAGGTGTCTTTTGAAAATTGGTCATGTATTGCTGAACAACTGATTGAATGTTATTGAGGTTAGGTATAAGTTACCAAGCAAATATGACAAATCGGTTGACGGGTTGTCTATCTTTATTAACTAAGAAGTTTGGCATATACATTACGTGTGTCCAACCGTCGCATACATCGACGCTCATTATTAGCTGGTGTACTAGTAAATCGGGAGAAATATAAGAGCAACTGGCACAAGACGCGGCTTCAGTACATGAATCCACTAACTTTCATTCTGATCTATCTTGGTAAGATAAGACCCCGCGGTCTGAGTTGCTGAGTGTGTTGTTTAAAGTGGCTCAGAATCCATCTTCGCAGTGTTGACTCATTCACTAATTCCCTACTCCTAGGTTCGGAGTTTCAAATTGCATGTGTTGTAAATTTCTTCTCGCTCTTCGGATCATTTCGTGTGTCTAATCTTTTCCACATACTACATACCACTACTTCGTGCGGCGCATATATATTTGGTGCCCCCTTGTACCAATATTTATGAGTTCAAATACAAAATAAAATACCACTACTTCCGATATTTCGGTACTTATCTTGACAATTTTATTTCATTGTTATGTTTTGGCGCAGCAACTTGGGAGGATAAACATTTATTCCGGGTATTTGAAGCTATTATCTTGGAATAATTTATACGTGTCTGCTTTTTTCCACGATCTTGTACAAAAATGACTATTTGCTTACTTAGAGCATATAAATACTTTTATTGGTTCCACTCGCATTATAATATCTCTGCTCTATCTTATAAGTGGTGCCATAGCCTTCCAGCTTTGAAGTTTCGGTTTCAAAGTATTACCTGGTGCTTTCATCTCAATTATTGGTGTATTCGATCTCTATGTTTTACTCATCATTATTATTTACGTTCGTAGTTTACACATCTTGCCTACCAGATAAAAGTTCATATACTCAACTTTGAGTGTTACTTTATTGTCTGAAGGATAGTAAGTACTACTCGACCACTCATATTGGCGGACGTACGGCGGACTTCAAACCTTACAAATGATAGTTGAAAATGCCATACCTTAACATCCCCATTCTAATGAGTCTATCAGAAAGTAGTCAAAAAGTCAGTACAGTATATGATTACTGTGTGGTTAAGGTACATCTGGTCAATGGATTCTCACTTATTATGATCTGATTGACAGAACATTCGAAACTGATTTCTGGAAATAACAGAGGTTTCTTACATCTTGATTTTTCGAAATCACAAAGTAGTTATTTGTATATATTTCTTAGAAAGATTTTCCAACTACTGTAAGGAATAACCGCTGCTACAGACGATGTCACCTGTTGGATAATTAAAGAATAAACTGACTCTCAGGTAATCAGTACGGGAGAGTACATTATAGTAGGACCTACTACCCTACCTATACTTCTGTCTTAGCTCATAAACTCAATGTACTATATTTTTTAACTTTGTAAAACCGATTTTAGTATATCCAATCGTATGACCTAAATATCAGAATTAATGAAAGGACTAAGATGTGAATGTTTGCGGCCAAGAACCTTAACAACCTATTTCAAGCCCACTAAATCACCACTCGAATCAACTAGCTGACTTTCGAGACACATTGTCTTTTCGTATCTATCCTATAGCATTTTTTTCAACCCGCTTAAAATGGTCAGTACATCTTGAAATAGTTGTAGTTGTCTATTATCTTACCCTTTTCTCTATCTATTCAATAAAGTTGGACAAAAAATAATCATGAACAGATTTGTCAAATGAAACTGGTATTCGTCAGATGATTTAATACTTTATAAGTTCTCACATCACACTACGAGTTCGAGTAGAATGTTCATATTATAATATAACTTTGAAACGAATATATTGTTAATACAAAGCCTCCTAATCGTTAAATTAAAACCTTCCCGGACTAGACGATGACGTTGATAGTTTGAGACCTTTGTATAACATACAAGCAGTTGTGAACTTTTACGTCTGTAACCAATTTATAAAGGAATAGAATGCAAAAAACATGTAAAAATCGTTATGATTATGATAAACAGAATAATACAATTAATAGTAGTTACACCAACAAGCAGTAATCATGGTGATAATAATGATAGTAATATATACAGTCCCTTTTGTAATCTTGAAGAGAAAATCAGTAAATATTTGAGTAGAATAATATGCACTCATTCTGTTCCACTTGATTCGCATCAGCCGCTTTCCTATGCCTGTTAACTCGTAGAGGATAGGTTACCGACCAGCAATCTTCAACCATATTCTGGGTTTTTGATATCTGCCTTCAATTCCCGACGCACTGTGTTCTTTGGCCTACCTGTTTTTCTTTTACAATAAGGATTTCAAGTTAAGCCTTCCCTCGGGATACAGTCTGATGATTTCCAAGATGTATGTTTTATCCACCTCCAGCGTTTATTTCTATTTCCCACCTCAGCTGTAAGCTCATCCTCTGCCTGGGGCCCTCCAATGGTTACTTGTCTGAAACCCAGATAAAGGAGGAGAAACGGTCATGAGGTTAGCGACTTCATCCCTTAGAAAAGAACCTTTCTAAAGAAATGCTAGCCAATTTGGGACTGCATCCTGACCTAGATAGTCTACATTATTTCGAGCAACAAACATTTAATCACTAGTTGGAAGTAATGTTGCAAAGATCGGCACCTTAAGAAAAGCCACGATCATGAAAACCTTTGTATTCCCAACCCAAATAATAATAACTTTATGTTCGATTTTTGTCATTTAAATATTGGTTAAAATGTTTTATATCTTGGATGGTACAGTGAACAAGAACACCAGTGGGAACAATCGAATGTATGTAACACAAAAGTACAGGACTTGTTAATAAAATCCAACATTCATAAAGTAAATGCTTAATTTGCAAAATGTCCATCGATTTTCTCAAAATGACTCAGACTTCATTGTTCTTGCATTTTCATACAAATTGCATTCTGCCTCCATTCTTTACTGTTCGATCCTCTTGTCTCTGCTGCCAGACCTGTTTACAACTAACATCATATACTACTTATGTCAATATAAGTAGCACACACCACAACGGTAATTGGTGAGCGAGAAGAAATTTGTTTAGGACTAGCATATCAAATCTGACCATATTAGCCAAACTCATCTGATTGTCGAGCAGTAAATAAATGGATACTCTGTAGTTTGTTACTGACAAATTTTACACTGTATTTGGTGTAAGGTTAGCTACTGGTCATTGATTGTTTTTTCAAATAACTTCATGCAAATAGTTAGTGAATAACTTCAATGTCCAGAAACATTTTACCTATGAACATTAAAATTTGCTATATATTAACTCTGAGAACTTAATTTCGCTAAATAGCATACATTGTCCTATTTTTATGTGTTGTCTACACATATTATTTTACATTTACGCAAGAAACCTCTTATGATTTAAAACAAGACCAATATGTTAGTCTTGTGATCTGTGCCAAATTCTAATTACTGCCATTGGTACGACTTTATTATCACTGTGGAATAACTGTTACCCATTACTATTTGAAACGAAATGAGATTGCTTTACTGACTTAACGAAGATCATAATGACATAGATTGGGACAGATTTATTCACCAACCGCTAATTAAATGAAGTCAACATTCATAATAACGTGCATATTATTTTAAATAAATTTAAACAGATTGAATTAGTAGTTTAACAGTAATATATATTTGTTTCCTTCTTAACGAAACACAATGCACAAATTTCACAGCTAAAAACGAAGTTACATCTTGATATTTATTCCCATTGCAGTAGTTTATATCAGAGAGACAATTTTCATGAAATCTATCATGTCATCTACTAACCTAAATAAAATACTTGTAATAAACACTGTAATGTGGCAGATTTCCTCCATCAGTAAGTTTATGATAGTATGTGTTGTCCTGTGATTGGTTAGTGTTTATCATTGATGATGTAGAGGTGTAAATCGGATAGTAGATTTTCATGCTCTATCGGTTAATTCACTCAAATGAACTTAATGGACAATTCTCATCTTTGTTTCAAATAAGTCATATTAACATTTGTGAGCGAAATATGTTTCCAACATTGTGATTTTATTCATAGGTTCCAGTTCTTTCTTATAACCAATATGTTTTCGTATTCACAACGATAACAGCCTGTTAGCATAACTGAATGATCGCCAAATTTTTGTCTTAAATGTTAAAATACTTAACTTTAAACCACCGTGGTACAGGTACAAATCTCTTCAGGTTGTAAAGTCAAATAGTATCACTAGCCTTTACACAAAAAGTATGACTTAAGGCAGATTACACAAATACTTGCTTGGTTATTTGCTAAATAAATTAAGTCAGTTTACTAACTTTGTGGTTAGCTAAATTTTCACTCATCAGACTTCAAGTCATATGTAGTATGTGAATGTTAAATATGATCATTGGGCAATCAAACAGAAGCTAGTAATAGACTGTTCCAATCTATAATTCGTCAGTTATCAGTAATATGCTTAACACATAAAAATCATAATCATTTACTATCAGTGTGCAATGTAATCATACTAATAACTTTTTCTTACGTAATCAGTTTCATTCAGTTACAATCTATGCACATTGAGAGTTTATCAAGTCTTTAATTTAGTGAAAATTCCCATTTTGCCATTTGGTAAATAAAGAAGGAACGAATTGAGCGAAGAAATTTCTTTTCAGTTAGTTTTTCATCATGGCTCTACACTAATATGTATATGATTTACAATAATGATATAATACTCATCGAGTAGATACGTTACGTAACAATTACATAATGACATTTAAATTAACATTGAGTAATTGGAAGAAAGAGGATTATTAATATTCAAAGTAATTATTAAATCAAGAAGTTGCTACGTTACGTAATATATGAAAAAGCGAAGGAACCAAATTTTATAATGGATGGTCAATAGAATAGTAGTTACGTAAGAATCAAGAGGTGAATGTTGAGGAGTTATAAAGTTAAAAAACAACTACAAACCCCTTCTGATAATAATCATCTGCTCATTAGTGATTGACTTCAAGAGACACTCCTGGAGTTCTAGTGAGAAGCCGTTACCAGTGGAGTTCAACCAGGTCTGTTGTGAGATATCAGCTCACTGAAGACAATGGTATACGGTAGCGCAACTTCGTGGATTGGTTGAAGTTAGACATTAACACCATTGGATGCAGGCTGGTTCAGTGGTCTGGTTGGTTAAGCGCCTAGCGCGAGACTGATAGGTCCTGGGTTCGAATCTCGCAAGGTGTGGGATTGTGGATGCGCACTGCTGAGGAGTCCCATACTAGGACGAAACGGCCGTCCAGTGCTTCCAGGTTTTCCATGGTGGTCTAGCTTCAATTGACTCATGATTTCAATCTGTGAAATTTCTAAAATCTCCACAAACCCCTTCTGATAAAAACAAAATTACAAAAATTTTTAAAGAAAAAAAAGTGGAAGAAGTATGAAAAATAGTTCTGAAGGAAATCTTATACCGATGACCAAGGCAGCGAAAGTGGTTGTACAAATCCCTTTTGAATGCAAAGGTTAGGTTTGTGAACATGGTTTGCGATGGCTTCCGCAATGTGCAAAAGGCGCACTCGTAAACCATGTGGCAAACTTGATGAGACATTGTAGATAACCTCAAAAGCTTTATTCAATCCAACTTGATGACCTGTGTCAACCAAGTGAGAGAGAACAGAACTTTTACCTGTCCTTTGCTTAACCACGACGGATGGTGTTCTGTAATACGATGACGAACTGGCTCCACTGGAGCAGTTGAAACGATAGATACACATGGATTTGGCATTCTGTCTTTATTGGCCGTTCTTATTTTGGGGTGGTTGTAGAAAATAGCATTTAATCTGGCTGCATTAAATGTTTTTTGTACAGCTCCTCTTAGTTTCTGAGTCACGATTTCTTCAGTGGTTTCATTTATGAAATTTGACTTTAAAATTAGTTTGGCAACGTTGATATAAAAAATATTTAACGATCACATTTCTTTTATAATATTCAATACCTTTTTCCGATTTATAGAGTTGAATCTCATTGACCGAATCGAAGATTAATCAGTAGGCGATATTCATCCACTTATTTCATTCACAATGAATAATCCTCGTCATTGGTGTACAAACGGACTTGCTGGATTAAATGAAATACCATCTTTTCTTCAGTCGGACTCGATATCATTGAATAGCAGCAATGATAAAGGTGATTTCAATAGATTACTAATCAGATGACTTAATTGTAGCAATGAATATATAGATTAATTCATTTATATTAGTTGTAAACTAAACGAATAAATTAGGTAGAAATTAATTCATGTAAAGTGGTTTAAGGCAGTTCATAATAAACCTGTCTTGTGCCTTTTGGTACTCTTCAGCAAAACGTACCTGCAATCTTGAGGGATCTATTGCTCCCTAGTGGATTCTAATGCACATCACCCAGTTTTACAGTCTGAGACGTTACGACCGAGCTAGTCGGGTGGCAAGTGACCTATATGACTAGTTTGTTTACAATTAATCGGTCATTTAGTGGCTAAAATCGTATTTGTGTAGTTCTAGTCGAATTCTATTGACTAATTTGCTACGTGGCCACTAGTCTAAAAGACTTGTAATCACCTCCGAAATAGTTCATTGTTAACGTCTCACTTAGACTGTGAAGATGGGTAACGTATTTTCGAATCCAGCGGTGAGCACCAGCACCCTCGAAATTACAGGTATATATTTATAAAAAATACCAAATACCGCAAAACTTGGTCTAGTGTTTCCTGTCGACTACCTCACATCTCGATATAGGGTACGCGATGTCAAGTTACCACGGTTAGCTCACTAGTGACTTATTTCAATTTCTTTCTGAAATTCTGCTGATAAATTGTGATTGATGGAGACATTTCAGCAGTGAGACACTTGTTATCAATGGGAATGTATGATTGTCTCGCTATACCTCGGATTGATTGAAGTTAAATTTGTAATACTGGATGTCGACGCAATGATTCTAATGCTTAAGCGTTCTCCCTAATACTTGAAGGTTCTGGGTCCAGTCATTGGTAGGGCCGTGAGTGTTTAATATGGATGAGTTTCACACGAGAACAAAACAACTATCCTATACTTCTTGATTACCAGTGGTCCCTCAAATGAAATTAGGATGTTGTAAATACAAGTTGCAAATTAAACTAAGGCCCACAAAACCACTTTAAGATACCTAAACTTGATTAACGTTCATTGGCTGTATACGATATGCAGTTATTTCGTACTACATAACGGAATGTTAAGATGAGATGCTTTTTCTTTTCATGTTTGAGTCAATCAAGATACAAATGTATCAGAGAATAACTTCTCAGTAAATCCAGAACATGCGATCCGTGGATCAACGCGTCATATTTATCAGAATGGCTGTCTGATTGGAGTTTTGGAAAAAGAAAACCTCCTTACTACTGGTAATTTATATCTTGAATTCGGTCCTGGTCGTGCTGGATTATCTCATTGGATCAACAACTGCCTAGCGTCTTCTGAATTAGGCTCTCGTTGTTACGATCGGTTTCCAGGTGTATGGCCGGTAAAGGCACCTGAAACTGACTTTATAGTTGTGGAACTCAATTCCGTTCGTAATAAGGTTTGTTGTAAAAAAGAATAATGGTACATTCAATAGAGCTGTTTTATATTGCTATTTGCTAATTTATTTTTTCATATACATTGCAACTTTAAATGTTTTATTTAGATATATATTGCCTATGCTAATATGGGCCATCTTTGAAGCCCTCATTGTACTAGCCCGGTTGTAAAAAGTCGGGTTTACAATGCGTTGATGAGGGCAGTTTTGCTCTTAGCTTGTGAATTCAGGTCGATGCGACTCTGCGCCTCTAATCATCATTGCCTACGAGGGATTGGTTACAATGAATGCCAACGCCACGTTAGTAATGCAGACGTTCGGCGAAATGTGTTCAGGCACAGTGATTATATATCCATCGGTGTAACTATGTTGAAAGACAGACTTCAGCGGCTTGGACATGTAACACGAATTTCGTCCCAGTGAATTCCATATCGTGGATTCTTTGCCGGTGCTCGGACTGGTTGAAGGAGACAGAGTGGGGTCAGTTTATGACATGGTGCCGTGGAATGAAAGAAATCTGTATAGGGATTGATTCTCTCCGTCCTTCACTGCTTTCTGGTTGGCCTTCTAGAGACAGTGCAACTTAGTGGCTTGAGACGTTATCAGACATAGCTCAGAATAAAAGCTAGTAGCGATCTTCTTTAGTTTCCTTTTACTTTTTTCATAAAAGTATAAGGAACTACTTTACCCGAAAGGATTCGTTCTGGTTATACTTTCTCAATTAAACTGTTTCTCCAATTTTTCGTTATTCTCTTACTCCTATTTTTATTCATTTTTTTTCTGATTATGCTAACTCTCCTTCCTTTAACTGTTCACAATCTCACTTTCTTAGTGTTGTGTATCTTTATTTTACTGCTTATTTATACCAATATTTATGTGTTTAAATAATTAGAATAATGAAATATATATCTAAATCATTTTGGTCTATTTCAATGGTTATCTTAATTTTAAAGAGTAATGGGTTACCCAATGTATTAACAAATATTACTAATAAGTACAACTTAAAACTCATTTGTTTCTCACTAACATTCCACATTTCATTGTATCTAGGTTAAAATTACATTCAGAGTCAATAGTGTTTTATGTTTTAGACACGATATTAAAATTTACAGTTTGTCAACTCCATTGAAAACCTGGAATCACAGAAATGACGTTTCGTCCTATCATAGGACTCCTCAGCAAAACAAATCCAAGACCCTTGAGCGTGGGATTCGAACCATGGGCCTTCGGTCTCAATTATTTGTGTTTATTGTATGTAATTAGTTAGTAGTATTATATGATCTTGTCGACAAATCAAATATCATGTGCAATCTTATCAGATTGCACATATCAAAGCAGAAACTGATTTATTCCAGACCGGAATATTAACAACTATAATTTGTAAAATCTAATGTAAGTTATGAAATGGAAAAATCAGTAAACATTCTTTTCAATAAAAATAAAATGGAGAATATTGTTAAGGTCAACAGAAAATATATAGTTAATTAAGAAAATCATTTTGATTTGAATCAACATTGGTCCTGCGTATCAAAATTCCCCCTTGTAAAGTACAATACAGAAAAAAAGTGTTTTCTTGTTCAAGCGTATCTTATCTTCATTTTAACGTTGAAATGTTTCTGTGTATTGGTTTGATGAAAAGATCTTTTTATTTTGTTAGTTTGCATCAAGTCAGTCTGTAAATTTTGCATTTATCCTAGTACAAGTTGACCAACATAATAAGTCAACTAGTAATAATCAGTCAGGGGTTTTGTGGAGTTTGTAATAATTTAATAATTGGATTCGTGAGTCAATTGAAGCTAGACCATCATAGAAAAACTCGAAGGTTCTGAGTTTGAATCTCGCAGGGCGGGATCGTGGATGCGCGCTGCTGAAGAGTCCTATACTAGGATGAAACCGCTGTTCAGTACTTCGAGGTTTTCCATCGTGGTTTAACTTGAATCGACTCATGAATTCAATTATTAAATTAACCAGTAACATTAGTTATATTCGAATACCTACATAAAGAAGACCTAATTAACATAAAATCCTATTTTACTTATCTAATTCCCTTCTAACTGAATTATCATTCTTTCATGTAAGTATTTCAAGAACCGAAATTTAAATTATTTCCGATTCAAAATTGTTTATTTTCTTCTGTGTTTTATAGATGGATAGACGGCAACGTGATGAAGGGAATTTTACACGTATTAGAATAGATATAGCTAACTTGGATCTTAGTAAGTGTTTTCTTACTTAAACTTTAAACATTGAAGTCCACTGTTTCAATGCATTTTTTACCTGATTGATAATTGAAATTTTGTAGTGTTCAACTTGAATGACTAGAAAATTTGTTTATTTTACTTTTTAATCAAACTGAGAAATATATCATTGTGACCGGTTTTAGGTATAGTTGAACATCACATCATATGTGGTTTTAGTAAAAAAAAAGAACATTTCAAACATGTATAAGTGTGATGTGACAGACGTTGGGCTGAAATGTCTTGTCTCTATATCTGAATTATTAGTTTCTATCATAATTTATGAGTGATTCATTTCAGTTAGTCTGTTTTTAAATGCATTTATAGTACTGTCATATATTATACTATTAATCTTACTGAACCCATTTTCTCTCTGAGGATATCATGAAATTTGACTTGTGCTTCCCGGGAGAATATGACTAAAAGATTCTTCTTTTTCGTGCATTTGAAAGCCTTCTTTTTCCCGTTTTGTTCATCAAATAGACCAACTTTTTTTTAATAAGGCAGTGTTCTTTTCAAAAATTTTCCAATTTTCTAATAACATGTAATCTTACTCAAAGTGTTCACAGGAGCTTTACAATCGATTTTGTGTTTAAATGTTTATAATAACGAATATACATTTTTTATTATTATTCGGAATAGTATATATGAAATCTATTTAAAGCCATCGTTTTAATCTTCATGTAACTGATTGTTATAACTTGTGGCCTGTGTGCTCTGTTAATGAATAACGTAACGATGCCGTTAATTAAAGAGCAGTGAATTATCGATCGGACCAATGATGCATTAAACCTGTACGAGCAGTCTAGAGTCCTTATTGGTTATACTTTCCGTCTAGCCCAGCCAGTTGAGTTCAGAACACAAATCTCAGCTTCTATGATATGAATCATTTATTTCAAGTATACTGAGTTTATATACCAACCAGACAGACCACATCGTATCATGAAATGGAAAATAACATTTGTACAAGTTTTAGCCAAATGTGGCTGTGAATGTGACAGGTATTAATTAATAGACAGGGCATAATTCAAGAATGGTAAATCGTATAATAATAGTTCATAGGTCAACATAAAGCTTATGATAAGAAGGACATGAATATCAATAGTTTAGTTATTTAACAATTATACGATAAAAATATGCGCATAGTGTTGGTCCATAAATGGATCCCAAAAGTTACCATTCATTATTCTTATTGGGACATAACACTCATTTGCTCAGCTTTCGGTAACATTATCTGACTTCATAAAATAAAATGAGTGCCAGGATTCAAAGTCGAATAACCCTAACTAAAATAACAACCTATCAGCTGACTTCAAGAGGATCCCAAATTGAGATGAAACAATAATATTTTAGCCAATACTATGTCATATATATTGACGATTTAGGGTTCCTCTTTTGTATAAAATTCTTTGCTCTTTTTATCAATCTTCAAGTCTCTTGATAACTTTTTCAGTTGGTATCTTCTCAATTTTTTTGTTTTCATTTTTCTGGAGTTTATTATTATATGAAGTTATGTTCAAAAACAAAGAATATTTGAGTGAACAGTTACTATCAAGAACTTCATTTTGAGCTTAACTTGATAATCACTAGATTACAGTGATTAATATAAGATATATTATAACCAAATGTGCATTTCATATTAAATATAGAGGTTTAAATGCTTGAAAAGTATATCATTAGTAAATTTAATAAGTTATATTAGAAAGGATGCATCATTGATGAAAATGGTGGGTCTGATGCAGATGTGAAAGCGCGAATCGGTAAAGTAAGAGCAGCATATCTACGACTGAAGAACATCTGGAACTCAAAACAACTCCCTGTCAACCAACACCCAAGTCAGAATTTTCAATACAAATGTCAAGACAGTTCTACTGTATGGGGCAGAAACCTGGAGAGCTACGAAAGCCATCATCCAGAAGATACAAGTGTTTATTAACAGTTGTCTACGCAAAATACTTTGGATCCGTTGGCCGCACATTATTAGCAACAACCAACTGTGGGAGAGAACAAACCGATCCCAGTGGAGGAAGAACTCAAGAAGAAGCGCTGGAAGTGGATAGGACACATATTGAGGAAAGCACCCAACTACGTCACAAGACAAGCCCTCACATGGAATCCTCAAGGCGAAAGGAGGAGAAGATGGAGACCAAAGAACACACTACGCCGGGAAATGGAGATAGACATGAGAAAAATGAACAAGAATTGGATGGAATTAGAAAAGAAGGCCCAGGACAGAGTGGGTTGGAGAATGCTGGTCGGCGGCCTATGCTCCATTGGGAGTAACGGGCGAAAGTCAGTAAGTAATTAGAAAGGATACGAAAAGTCACTAATAGATGATGAGTTATATTCAAAATAATAAAAGCATGTGAATATGTTACACAATATAAGAAGTGTTCTGTCGAGATAATAATAATAATAACATTTTGATGGGTTACATATTAGTAAATAGTTCATTTTTCATCCATACATGATAACTAGTGTATTTTTAATTTTTATATTAACCATTCAGTATCCATTGAAGTTAATATTTCCGAGTTTCTGAGGTTGAACGATCTGACTGTCTGCTTTCATAAGGAACGAAATTATTTTGAATTCTGTACATTATCCTAATTTTGGTATAAATCTTATATAGTTAAGTACTTTCATGATAGATTAATTAGTTAATATCTTATATTTAGTATTTTATAATTAAAAATGTATGGAAGGATTTGTGTAGAATGTCGAATTTCCATACTTTAAATCAATTGTTATTCTTAGATCACTATTGAGAACATCTACACACGAAATTCAGGCTTCAGAGTTCGACTTCTAATTCAGCGCCGCGAATATTCACTACTGATGAGTCCCATACTGGAAGGAAATGATCATCTTATGCTTTGCTATTTTCAATAGTATTCTAACTAAGATCAGTTCGTGATTGAAATTATGAGATTTTAAGAAGTATTTTAATTAAAAGTAGCTATAATTTGCTTGGTTAATAATAGTAGTTGTATTACAATTGGTCTTGTACATATGAATAATGACTTTACTTTAAAATTTTCATTTTTCAAATTTTACAGCTCATGTTCCATTGATACAAGAAAATAAAAAACCATTAATAGCTGTTGCCAAACATTTATGCGGTGATGCTACAGGTGAATGTGATGTTTAATATTTATGTGAATCAAATATATTGTCAATAATAATGATGATGTAATAAGAAAATGGTAATGATCTGTAAGAAATGTAATGAATTTGCAGGAATGCACTTTTTCAATAATCTCGTTACACACATAGATTCTTATGTATCAAAACTAATTGAGGTCAAAATATTTTTAAAAAAAAGATTATTGAAATATTGGAAAGAGAAATGAAATAAAATTGAGAAAATAAGTAATATATCACTTTAGATGTTAAAGTTAATTAAAACTTATCAATGACAATTCATGATCAGAATCAGTTGTTTTTGTACACACAGTTGTAAGCTTGAATTATTTAATGACTAAAGCTTCTAGAATCCAGGAATATGTCCTTGACTATTGTTATACAAAGTTTTAAAAGTTCTTGTATGGTTAGTCTTATGCCATCGAAATGATATATTTTACTATTGAGGAACATGGTATTTTACTTCTTGTGTTTACCCAGGAGTATGACGCTAACACTTATGTTCTGCTACTCTCGAATACAACATTCGATTACTTTTGCGTGTATGTATATGTGTCAGTGTACACATACAAAGAAACTCGATAGGAGACAATCTACACTAAAAAGGATCGTCAGGGAGCATCAGTTCCATCAAGATTTCAGGTACACCTTGCTGTTAAGTGCCAAGTAGCACGAAACCTAAGTCCAGAGTTTCCTGTTGACTACCTCCAACTACCATCTTATCTCAACATGGTGCACGCAATACTGAGTCACCTAGACTAGTGGCCACATTGCAACTTGGTCTATAGGATTCGATCTGCACTAAGACTGACCTGACATATGTGATATTGTCAGAAGTGGTTTTGTGGACCAAACGGCCGTCCAGTGCTTCGGGGTTTTACATGGTGGTCTAACTTCAATTGACTCATGATTTCGGTGAAATTTGTAAAATCTCCACAAAACCCCTTCTGATAATAATAATTTGCTCACTAGTGACTGACTTCACGAGATACTCCTGAAGTTCCAGTAAGAAGCCGTTACCAGTGGAGTTCAACCAGGTCGGTTGTGAGATATCAACTCACTGAAGACAATGGTGTATGGTGGCGCAACTTCGTGGATTGGTTGAAGTTAGACATTAACACCATTGGATGCCGGCTTTGTGGTCTAATGGTTAAGTGCTCGCGCGCGAAACCAGTATGTCCTGGGTTCGAATCTCGCAGGGAGCTAGGTCGTGGATACGCACTGCTGAGGAGTCCCATATGTGATATTGATTACCACGCAGTGATCAATCAATTGTAATTACACATTGAAATGTGAATTGGTAAATGAAATCAGATATGATTTAACCTTTTATGTGATATTATAACCTACATGCAATCATGAGCATAAAGTGTACATAAAATTATACCATAATGTAAGATTGACTGCATTTTGTCGAAATGATCATTCATTATGAAGAGTTACTTGACGATGGAAAGACAGTGTAGCTTAACTTTTGAAAAAATATCCACATTCATTTTAAAGTTGGTTACCCGTTCATTTGAAGTAGTATGTAGGAAATAAGCCAAATTTTGTTAAAAATCAAATTTCATAATGAACACATTAAAATTGTCCTTGAAAGTTAATAGTTGTCAATTTCTTTCTTTTAAAAAGGAGTTTGACAAATCCATTTTTTTGTTTCTATTCTTTAATTTTAAAATAATTAAATGAACCCTTTTTGAATAACAAAAAAATCCTCTTCTCAGACTTATCACTTCGTTGTTTGAAAAATGGTGAAAATGCTATGAAGTATGTCAAATGTTTTTTTCTTCTTATAATGAATTTTCGGTATAAATTTTTATGGTAATATCAAGTCTTCATCGGTACATTGTTCTTGGACATTTCACGTTACTCGACTAGTTCCCAAATCTAAACTGTTATAACTTGTGGCCTGTGTGCTCTGTTAATGGATAACGTAACGATACCGCCAATTAAAGAGCAGTGAATTATCGATCGGACCAATGATGCATTAAACCTGTACGAGCAGTCTAGAGTCCTTATTGGTTATACTTTCCGTCTAGCCCAGCCAGTTGAGTTCAGAACACAAATCTCAGCTTCTATGATATGAATCATTTATTTCAAGTATACTGGGTTTATATATCAATCAGACAGATCACAACGTACCATAAAATGGAAAATAACATTTGTACAAGTTTTAGCCAAATGTGGCTGTGAATGTGACAGGTATTAATTAATAGACAGGGCATAATTCAAGAATGGTAAATCGTATAATAATAGTTCATAGGTCAACATAAAGCTTATGATAAGAAGGACATGAATATCAATAGTTTAGTTATTTAACAATTATACGATAAAAATATGCGCATAGTGTTGGTCCATAAATGGATCCCAAAAGTTACCATTCATTATTCTTATTGGGACATAACAAAAACACTACTTGAACAGATTTGTAAATGCATTTCAAAATCAACAATATGTGAAGTTAATGCAGTGAGGAAATATCAGTGTATTTATAAAATTTACACTGGAAACGTCTTAATTCTTCTCAACTCATCCATTAACACTAGTTGATTGAAAATGAACCAATTAATGCTCTCCATCGTGATGTTATTTGTAACACGCTTCAACTATGTCTCCTATTACATGGATTCTTGATTCTTAATCAAATCTGATATCTGAAATTTAAAAATAAGATTCCTTCATTGATTAAAAGATCACAGTTCACATTTTATCGACATGTCGATCATTATAATTTTGGTGTTACAGCTTATTCGTCATCATGAACCTATCATGTCCTTATGAGTCAGTAATTAATCTCATGTTTATAATCATCACTGATCGATCTTTGTCAGGATACCATTAAAGAGCACAAACCTCTAGGTGGCTGTTTTTTTGTTCTAGCATGAAACTTTTGACCAATGTACACCTACAATCGAATTCATAACCATCAGATCTCACTTATCGAACGGTTAACAATGAAGGAGTACTGCTAAGGTGTTCCACACTCTGACGAAACAGTCATCCATTTCCCTATGATCTCTATTGGTACCCCAACTGAGACCAATATTTCGTAAATAAAACTTACAAATTACACTAATCGTCTTAAAACTTCAACTTAAATTGAATTACTCAAAATAACAGCACTAAATTAATGTTTTCATAAAATATCGAACCGTTTACATGATTATTTCTCACGAAATAAACCAACTGATCAGAAAGATATAGATTTTTTCCAGCAAATATCCTATTTTAAATCACTACATTGTCTTACTTCAGTATGTTCAATCGTGCAATCAAAATTACTTAGAATTTTGATTGTCACACTTAAAGCTCTACCTTTCAGCTCACATGTACATATGTCAATATTGTTCAATAAGTTTTCATGTCAGAGGTCCATCGTTTTTCAGTTACTTTATTATTTATCTTGACTGGTCTCAAACATTATGTATCTTGATTTCATCAAATCTTTTCATCAAGGAAATTTTCTTTAGTTATACTCTACCATACAAAAGCTCTTGCTATGCGATAGGTTTCTTTATATAACAGAAACTTATTTACGAATATTTATTGAGATGTTATTCATTATACTGTGTTTATTCTTCAAATTTCTATAGCCTCTCAGGTATAATGTTTGCTGTATGCTGTCATAGTAAATGTACTTGGGATGAAACAGTTGGTCGTTTTTGGCTAGAGAAAGAAGCAAAGATAACATCAGATAAATTTCGCTTAATCTCTTATTTTTCCTCATGGGCAGTTTGTGGATTCAAATGTGAATCATCTGAACAAGCGGATAATCCTATTCACAGCTCCAATCAAAGTTATTTAGAAGCTTTAAAGAGTGCCAATGAAAAAGAATGTCAGGATGCACTGTTAGGTGGATTAGTTTTTAATGAAATATTTGTTTCAATATTCAATGGTGGTCTCACTTAGACTGGTCTATAATTTAAATGAAATCTGCCGATTGCTAATTTTATTTTTTGTTGTCAGGATAGGAATGTTGATACTTGAGTCAACCTCTGCTGGACAGCCACTGAAAACCTGGAAGCATTGGACAGATGTTTCGGCACAGTATGGGACTCCTCAGCAGTGCGCATTCATAACCCTGCTACGAGGAACCTAACTCAGAACCTTCGGTCTCGCGCACGAACGCATAACCTTTAGACCAATGAGTTTGGACTCTTTTATGTACAAGTCTAGATTTCAATCAGTTCATGATATTGGCGACCATCTTTGATTTTCTGTGTGTAACTACTGTACTTCAGATACGTATTTTTCCATTAGTCATGGCTTCTCACTATAACCTCGAAAATTTTCTCTTGAAGCTAGTCACTATTGAGCACATGATAATTGCCAGTATAAAGTTATGGAGATTGCTAAATCTCATTTAAATCACGAATCGATCTAAGTTAGACAACCACTGAAAGCCTGGAATCACTGAGCGACCGTATCATTCTTTCATTATAATTGATTTGATGAACTTATGGATGTACCGTAGACTGAATAAGTACTTCTAGTTTTTCAGTCACCTGGATTTCTAATGTTTTCACGAAATGCGATAACATGTTTACCATTACAAAACAAATATTAGATTGTTTTGATTCATACACTACTTGTGAATCACACTGTTCACATTAAAAATTCCTTCAAATCATTATCATTTTAATATCGTGTTGATATAAATGTAACTAAATTGCCACCCTATACTTCAAAGTCTATGGTTTGTTTGCTAATGTGTAACTAATTGATTTTATCGACATGCACTAAAAAATGATGTGGTTTATAAGATATTTATTTAAACTATTGAAATTTGTTACTATTACTTGACGTTACTAATTTCATCTCTTTTGAATCTGACAATGATCTAGTTTATGAAATCACGCACAAATGACTGAAAGCCTTTCTGTAGATCATGAATATTATTGACTTTTATTAATCCTTGTTATTTCATGTTGAACATTGATACGAGCAAGGACGTTCCATAAGATATAAAGGTTCGTTGACGTTTATGTGGATCAAGACGAAGAGAATGGTCACTTTGTCAGAGCAGTTTGTCTTTTAGGTGACCTATAACTTATTTTTATTAATTCCTTCTCTGAATTGCACAGGATTAATTGGAGTGGTTTTGCTGACTTGTGTGCCATTGTCATTTCAAACTGCCTCAAATAATTTCCCAGATCAGTTCAATTGTTTTAAGCCATGCTCCAGTAACTACGAGTGGACCAAGATGTGAATACTGCAAAACACCGTAAAGTGCGTGTATGTTTTGTACTGGAATTACTGACAAAGATTGTAATTATTGAAAATCACTTCATATAAACACTACATAATGTCATCTATTGAGAATTTAGGTTTTTCATACATCCGGGGTTGTTATTGTTTCTATAAATAGAGAATACCAATGACTGGAAACATTTCCTTCTAAGAATTTATAACACTAATATTTTGAAGCTACCTTTTGTCTTTTAAATGAGTTGGCTATCCTAAATTACTGCGGTGTTATTGGTGTTGAATCTTAACTTTAGATAACTTCAAAGGGTTCATACCACTTATCGAGAAAACATGTCTTCTTTATTTTTCAGCCACAACCTAGATGTATGTGTGAAGGTGAAAATCGGAAAAATATGTAAGCGTTTAATTGATTGGGGACGTCTCATGTACATAAAACACGAGTTAAATCTTCCGAATATCTCTTCTGTGGCCTATACAACATCAAACGTAACACCTGAAAACATTGTGATATGCGCTAGTCGGTAAAAGCCTGGCTAAAACTAAATTATTTGCAATTATTTTTTCATACAATTTCTAATAACATGTGTGCGTAATTAAAAAGATTTAATATTTATACCAAATAAAACCTTATTTCGTATTTAGTCCACCTGTAGCTCTTCTAGAGTTACTGCCAGTCCCAAGCCCGTTTAAAGGGAAAGGTTTAGGTATAATGTTAGCTACCCTATCCCGTAGAAAAGTAACAAGTTAATAAACGCTAACCAGAAAAAAATAATACAACACGAACATCACGAAAGTTCTACCATACGGAGCTGAAACTTGAAGAACTACAACAACCATCATCAAGAAGGTACAAGTATTTTTTAAATAGTTGTCTACGCAATTTACTGAACACCCACTGGCCGGATACCATCAGTAACAGCCTTCTGTGGGAGAAGACAAACCAGCTTCCAGCTGAAGAGGAAAATAGTAAAAGACGATGGAAATCGACAGGACATACATTACGGACCACAAGTATGTTAATTGTAGGTCACATGAAATGTATATTTTTGGTCGTCATGCTCATTTATAGATAGTAGACAACTAAAGTGTATTTTGAATTTACGGTGAAGTGGGATGGAAAATGATAATGATAAACGCAGTCGCAATAACTCTGCGTCCCTATACCTCTGAATAAGGATAAAATTCATTTCATTTACTAACTTATTTTTCTTTTGAGTCGGTTAGCTGCGGTGTATTTCACTAGATTCACTGTCGTTTTAAACCATGAACACAGATTATCCAATTGTCTTACGTTTATACATTCGATGGAGGAATTCAATGCAAAAGGTGTGAAATATGGATCCTCAGGATGTGCATGACAGGAGCAATCGGTAGCATACATAAAGAGTAAACGATTACAGGACAGTAGTTTAATAGTAAATAAAACTGGTTCTTTGTCTTATTCAATATTATTTATTTGACCAAAAATGCTGAATCATGTTTAATAAAGTCGACTATGCTACAATCCCTTCATGTTTATCGTACATCTGAATAAATGTATGTGACATAGGAATTCATTCAATACGTTCCTTAGTTGGCTTTCATAACTGTCGTTACACGGTATATTTAACATTAGCAAAATATGGGTAAACAAACGTTTATTCGTAGTTGATAGTCAGTTTATCAACATCGTTAAAAACCCAGTCGGTGCAGAACCACAATATACACAAAAGATACCCTCAAGTTATCAATGACTGGGTGTTCAGTAGGTCTAGAAATAATGCTCAAATGTGTTTGGCGAGGTAACGTTCTGGAGTATATGATAATTTCGAAGCTATTTCTACCACCTGGAAGCGAATTGACTTTCTCGGAAAGTTCAAAACTACTTCAACTCTGTAAACGGAATCATTTTATTTGTACCGACATATTTGTTCTCCTGATAGATAGAGTCTTATACGTTCAAACTCATTGTTTATGATATTATTCCGTGGAACAATTAGCGCTAAGGATGACCAGTCATGCTATGAGGAATTAAGTATTACATGTATGCACAGAATCAAATGAGCCACAACGAGTCGCCACTCTCGTCTAATGAAATTGTTGTAGAGTAATCATATGTTTCTATACAACTTTATAGTGGAGGACTTACACTTCATGGGAAATATCCTAGGTCAACATTCCTTAATAGCTCTGTTTATGAAGTCTCTAAGCTCTTAGCTAGAGGATTCCAATCCATTAACTCCATCTGCCATACCTCTGTCGAACGAATTTTTCCCTCTGCTTTCTGGCTGACCTGAGCTTCGTGTATATTGAACCTCTCTCAGTCAGAAAAAATCTGACGAACCTTAATCTATTCAATCCGATAAAATCTGACCCAAAAACAAGGAAAATTGAAAACTACATTATATGTAAGACTTGCATATCCTCTCAGTTTACGGACCAGGAAGTAGCAATGCCTGGGATGTCTTTGTTTCGCAACGACAAAAAAACAGGAATTGGGGGTGGAGTAGCCGTATACATACGATTCTGCTTGGAGGTACACCAAGCTCACAACCATGAGTTTAACAATCTTAATGAATCTGTATGGTGCTCAGTAAGATTGTCTGCTACTTCGAGGGGCCTAGTCGGGGTCATCTGTAAAAAGTCCACCGCTGAAATCGAGTATGACAGTCGCATGCTGGAAGAACTATCTCGCACTACGCGTCTCGGATTCACTCATGTCCTGATTCTAGGGGACTTCAATCTCCCTAGAGTCAATTTCGCGGAACATACGTATATTGGAGGTGAAAACTCAACTGAAGTTCGGTTCTTCAACCTCACTGAGGATCTGGGATTATAAAAAGACGTGAAGTCGGCAACTCGGAGAAATAGCCAGATACCGTCACGCTTAAACTATGTATTTATAAACGAAGAATTTTTAGTTGACAACCTCTCAATCCTGGCTCCTCTGGGGATAAACGATCACCCAGATATAGCCTCAAGTTTTGTCAGCAAAACTAAGCTAAGTTATCCCACCAACAACAGGCGCTGGAATTTCAAACGGTTGAATGTTTCAGCTCTACAGGACTATCTACAATAGGTGGATTGGGATGTTCACCTTCAACTTGATGTGGATGCTCACTGAGGCTTCTTATTGCACACGCTCTTATGTGCTACAAAGCATTCAGTTCCTCAAACCGTCCCCAATAGCTACAAGCAACCTACAATCGTCAAGAACCGCACACTTCGCCTGCTAAGGCGTAAAAAGCACTATTGGGCAGAATATGAACGAACTGGCAACAATGGGGCGTACAGGCAATACAACCATATAAGTAACATATGCACGAAGGCTATAAGAGAAGACAGACTTCAGTACCAGATAAAGCTTATGGTCTCTAATCCGAAAAGCTTATTCCGTTATGCAGCCTCTCTTCGTCATGCCGAAACTGAAGTTTCCCAACGCCGCTAACCTTTTGGCTGGACAATACTCTCGGACATTTCAATCGATCCACATCAACTATACTGACGACAGCTTCATCTGTAACTGCGCAGGACTTTCCGTAGTGAACCTGAGCACTGAACTGATGTTCCGAAAACTACAGCACTTAAGAAATAACACTTCTCTTGGCCTAGATTCGGTTCATTCTGCTACATTGAGGGAAGAAGCCTCAATCTTGGCAACATCGCTTAGCGTGATGTTCTCACACTTGCTAAGCTGAGGCAAACTACCGGAAAATCGGAAGCTGGCCCAAACTACACGAATTTTCAAAGGAACTCGGCGCAGCGAACCTTCAAGTTACCGACCGGTCGCTCTTCTCTCAATACCTTCAAAAATCATGGAGTCCTTGATATGCGGTGGTATACATGACTATTTACTGTCCCTGAACTTCTCACCTCAACAGCATGGTTTCAGGAAAAGTTACTCTTGAATAACCAACAGATGGATAAGCATCCTTGATCGCAAGGTGAAGGCTGATATAACCTACCTTGATTTCTCAAAAGCTTTTGGTAGGGTCACCCATATATGTTTTATCAGTAAGCTCAAACGATTGGGTATCAGACCATCTCCAATTTATTGATTCATTTCATATCTGAAACATCGACATTTTAAGGTCAGGGTTAACTTCACTTTATCTCAGGCTATGGAATGTCCCAGTGGTGTTCCAGGGCTCAGTACTAGGACCTCTTCTCTTTTTGATTTATGTAAATGATCTTCCACAACAGGTATCTTCAGACCTATTAGTTTTTGCCGATGACATGAAACTTTGGAGAGAGGTATGCAACCAAGACGATATACGGGCATTTCATGAGGGTCTGACTCGACTTCAAATTTGGGCAGACGATAACGGACTTACCTTTAGCACTTCACACTGTAAAGTAGTCCATCTGCGACATGTCTCGGACTACAGCTATAACTTAGGAAACTCCTCTCTATTAGTATACCAAGTCGAAAAAGATTTAGGAGTCCTGGTGCCCTACGATTTAAAGTCTTACGCTAACTGTGACAAAAACGCCTTCCGAGCAAACCTTGCACTGATAACATTGAAGCGCATTTTTGGCCAGTTGGACGGAAGAAATTTCCATATAATCTTCAATAGTTTCATCCGTCCCCATTTAGAGTACGGAAACATAGTATTCCTCCTTCACTCCAAAAGGATAAGGACACCCTGGAGCCTATCCAACGGCGAGCCACGAAATCAGTTCGAGGACTCAAATTCAAACCTTGTTAAGAGCCCTCCAATCACTTAACCTTTACCCGTTAGAGTATAGGCGTTTTAGAGGTGATCTTTGGATGGCTTACGGTGTCCTTTACACTTATGGACATCCCCTTAAACACCTATTTAAGCTTAGTCCCAATACAAATCTAAGGGGTAACACCCAGGAATTGGAGATACAACATAGCAGAACGGACTGTAGACACAACTTCTACTCCCTAGGAGTTGTCAAATGCTAGAATTCGTTGCCGACTGAACTAGTCTAAGCAACTTCCTAGGAGTCTTTTAAGAGGAAACTTGACCTATTCTTAAGGACTAAGGTTAACATCTTATAATGAGTTACCAATTCCCTTTATTTAAAAACTATCATAGTTGATATACCTAGGTTCCTGCCTAAAGGTATTTGTGATCCCCATCTACTAGACACGGATGCCTGTTAAGCGAAAGCTTCTTCTATCCCGTCCACAACAATTCGAACCATCTGAACCTCCAACATCCCAGATACAGAATCAAGGGAACAAACATTTTGTTAATTTTGCCGAGCTAAGTTGAATTCGAAATACCCTGATAACTTTAACATCAGACTATATCAATTCAGTTCTATAAATTTGTTTTCAGATGTCCTTTTTACCATTGAATACCTATGACCGGTAATGAAAATGTTTTTCCTCATATAACCTTGAGTCACCATAACTAAATAATACCGCTGGACATGAAGTGGTATGAAAAAAGTCTCACTGAGGCTATCCATACTTTAGTAGGTCAAGATGACAAACTAAACTTCAGGAATGGTCAGAGCTTATTACTGACATCGAAAAACACATCTATGCTAATAAACCGAAAACTAATTTTTTTGGGATGACTGAAGATGAAATAAGCTTGCTGATAGCCAATTTTTCAGAATCAGTGACTCCAGGTATATTTTGGTGCTTTTCAACCATTTTCAGATAGGAATTTAGGTCTTAATGCTTTAAAAAGTTTCTTTTGGTTGTAAACCTTATAAATTACATGATTGCTATGACGCCAAATAACCAATAAAGGGGAAAGTGCGTTGAAAACCAAAGACAAAATAATAGGGAAACACGCCCAAATGTCTGCTTTTTTGTTTGTCCGGGTGAATTAATACAGATTTTCCTCTTTACATCGCTCTGTACTTCAAATATTACTGAATTGTCTACTTTTCGCCTAAATATACGTACGTATAATTAAGTTTCCGATCTCCTCGTTTTGTAGACAATTTTATGAGTTCTTTGGTTATCTTGTAGACATGCGATGAATCTCAGAAATTTCTTCAAGTTTGGGTTTTTTTACACACTTCAAAGTTATTATGAAGAATTTATCAAAGAGTTTGTGTGCATTTCATGTTTTCTATAATACTTTATCAAGGTTGCCCCCGAAGTTCCTAAATATGTGGGAAAATACACTTTTTTTCTTTGACAAGACCCTATGGATGCTTAGGATTTTAGAAACGTTCCCCATGAGTTTGAGGTTTTCGTAACATCTTCAAAACTTTGGAAAAATTCATTAATATTCTTCAAGGAAACCTCACAATTTCTCGTTTTCTCAGAAAGCATACCGACCTAATCAGAGGTACCTAGAATTTGCTATGCATGTATTCATATTTCCTTTTCTTCACTTAATCTAGCAAATTTGAAGCAATTTTAATATAAACATCTAAAAACGACTAACAATAACATAAAGAGATGTTCAGTAAAAAACCTAAAGTGCTTTAAGCTCACCCTTTCTTTGGATCATCATCCACGTCTATTTACTTTATCTTTCGTATCGTTCAAGAAAGCCTGACTCGCAACATCCATTGCTCGTGCTATTTGATTTTCTGAACAGGTCGCACTTTAGAACTGTGAAAACAGAACATCCAATAATAAATAAAGACTGAACTCGTACATACTAAATATGGTTCACTAAAAAACCTAGACAACACTGATGACTACAATAGGTGCATAGTGACTGTAATTACACGGAACAATCACAGGATTCAGTGCGATTACGAAACTGTTGTGTAACTACAAAGCTGCCCATATCATTAAGATGTATTGTACTGAAGGTTTGTCTGTTAGTGACCGTGAAGTTGTACTTTTTTACAAACTCATCTCTTAACTTTTTCAACCTTCTGTAAAGTGTCTTACGATGGCAGACCATAAGGTTTGTCACTCTATTGCCTACCATCCATCCCCCGTTGCTTTTATTAACTTTGACATTGTAAGTTTAAAATAAGCAGTAGGCTGGGGTTAGGCTGCGCCAGGGGAGTAATCAATGTTTGTAACAGTAACAACAGCTCACCTTCATTGTGTGAGGTTTTTGGAAAAGTCGCGTGGAAAAGACACTCTCTTGTCTCGCGCCTATTTGGCCTACTGAAACAATGCCAAAATATCGGTAATGGAAAGTGTATTGAAATTGATGATCGTGGAACAAAAAGTTTAACTAATTGTTTTAATATCTTAGAAAATTTAGACAACACTGTTAATAATCAACTACTGTTCAAAGAACTGCACAACACCGACTTTGGGATTTTTCTTGAAATTTCACTAAAATTTACTAGAATTTCCCCAAAATCTTGATATTGGGTTTACGTTCACAGATTAATTGCTTTATCAATGAGTTATCTTTATTTTTGCTTTCCTTAAAACTTCACACAATTTTTTCCTCGATCTGACTTAGTCACTAACTTACCATCGACTTGAGGTCCCATTGACGTATTTATACAAATTTCTACTTTTGCCAGTAGTAGAAATTACTTTTTGCATTCAACTCCAACTTGTGTTTTCAAAAACCGTTTTGTCATAATCCTTAATGGTTGAACTTGCCGGTGGCCCACTTTTCTCAGATCCTTTGGGATATTGTTGTGACATTTTAATTTTTCATCCAACTTAGATTTTGTTTGAAAAAGTTCATTTTGTACGAAAAATATAAGTTAAAAGCAGAAATAAGTATTGAGAAATAAAGCTTGTTCCTACAGTTAGACTTACTACTTTATGATAGTACTTTATAATTTGTGGTGTATATTTTACCATAAAAATATTTAAACACTAGAAAAACTATTCCAGTCTATTTCCAAGTGCATTCAAAGATCTTTTGTCTTAGTTTATATTCTGTAAGTTGCTGCTATCTAAAAACGTATATTGTATAGTTCATTTTTTTCATATCGAGCAACACCAGTCAAATACTCCAGTATAAATGAAAGAAACACTCTTGTTGCGTCTCAAGGGCACTACCATAATTATTGAAGTTTATTTCTGTTTTAACTGTAACTAAAGTGAAAAAGTGTCACGGATATACAGTTAATTTGAACTATATCGTCCATAACGCTTTTTCAATAGAGAATATCAGTGCCAGTTAACTTAAAAGTCAGGAATAAAAAGGTCCTTAGGTATATTTGAAAAATGAACCATTCATCAAAAAATATATAATCTAAGTTGTCCAGTTGTTATGTGAAATGCACAAGTCTCCGCACTCAAGCGTGATTTAGTGTGGGTACTTGGCCAAGCGCCTTTAGCTGGAGATTCTTCCAGTAAAATCAGTAAGGTCGACATCGGTGTCACAGACTTAAGAAACTATTCATTCTAGGAATTTATTTACTTGAACATATACGTAGACTAAGCAAACGGTGAGAATGGAATGGTGCTGTAATTATGGCTTGGACTCTATAGAGCCGAATGTGATAAACTTTTCTGTCTACGCCGCTCAATACCACAGCGTGACTAACGTTTTGTGATATGTGAAGATCGTCTGGCTAGTAAATAAGCATATTCCGACTTACCTTACTTTTTAAGGAATTACTAAAGACTGACGGTAACTTTGTTCGATTCCTGAGTGCTTTGCTTATTTAGTAACAAACAGTTGGTAACCAATAAAGTGACGATTAAATTGAACTAAGATGTTTTCTGTTGTCACAGTATCGTTTTTATGCTTTGTTGATATATTCTTTGGTAAAAAAGATAGGACTAGACCTCATGCCAAAGCGTGATTTTTCACTCGCTTTTCAAGCGTGGTATTCCTAAATTTCCAATGAATCCACCGGACATCGAAGCAGCACACATAGATCTTCCTATAGATGTCAATCCACCAACTACGGAAGAAATTAGAATGGCCGTCAGACAAATCAAGAACGGGAAAGCAGCGGGACCCGACAACATACCAGCTGAAACACTGAAATCAGACATCGAAGCAACCACAAGCATGCTTTATCTTCTATTCAAAAAGATTTGGGAGGAGGAACAAGTGCCGATGGACTGCAAAGAAGGGCACCTCGTCAAGATTCCAAAGAAAAGAGATCTGAGCAAATGTGAAAACTACAGAGGCATAACACTACTGTCAATACCAGGGAAAGTCTTCAACAGATTGTTGCTGAACCGGATGAAGGATGCAGTAGACGCCCAACTTCGAGATCAACAAGCTGGATTCCGTAAGGATCGGTCGTGCACAGACCAATTGAGTGGAACTCGTCACTGTACATCAACATCACTGATTATGAAAAGGCATTTGACAGTGTAGATAGGAGGACGTTATGGAAACTTCTTCGACACTACGGAGTTCCTGAGGAGATTGTCAATATTATCCGAAACTCATATGATGGACTACAGTGCAAGGTCGTGAATGGAGGACAGCTGACAGATGCATTCCAAGCAAGGACTGGAGTCAGACAAGGCTGTCTACTCTCTCCCTTCCTCTTTCTTCTGGTGGTCGACTGCATTACGAAGACCTTGACATTTGAGGGAAAACACGGCATACAATAGACAACTCAGAACCAATTAGACGATTTTGACTTCGCAGATGACCCAGCCCTCTTATCGCATACACATGAACAAATGAAGATAAAGACAGCCAGTGTAGCAGCAGTCTCTGCATCAGTAGGCCTCAACATACACAAGGGGAAAACCAAGGTCCTCAAATTCAAAACGTAGAACGGCAATTCAATCATACTTGATGGCGAAACTCTGGAAGATGTAGAATCCTTCACATACCTGGGAAGCATCATTGATGGACAAGGAGGTTCAGATGCAGACGTAAACGCGAGGGTCGGCAAAGCAAGTGCCGCATCCCTACAATTGAAGAACATATGGAACTCAAAACAACTTTCAATCAATATCAAAGTCAGAATCTTCAATACCAACATCAAGGCAGTTCTACTGTACGGAGATGAAACTTCGAGAACTACTACAACCATCATCAAGAAGGTACAAGTATTTATAAATAATTGTCTACACAAGATACTCAACACCCATTAGCCGGATACAATCAGCAACAGCTTTCTGTGGGAGAGAACAAACCAACTTCCAGCTGAAGAGGAAATTAGGAAAATTCGATGGAAATGGATAGGACATACAATACAAAAATCATCAAACTGCATCACGAGGCAAGCGCTAACTTGGAATCCTGAAGGGAAACGAAAAAGAGGAAGGCCAAAGAACACATTACGTCGGAAAATAGTGGCAGATATGAAAAGGATGAATAAGAACTGGAAATAGCTGGAAAGGATTGTTCAGGACAGGGCTGTATGGAGAATCCTGGTGGGCGGCCTCTGTTCCTTCACGAGGAGTAACAGGCGTAAGTAAGTAAGTAAGTAGGTAAGTAAGTAATTCCTAAATTTGTGTATATTATTGTCAATCGTCTATAATTAATAAATTAACCCTATGGAAATCCTTGATATTTTTAACTAGTTCAATCTTCCATTCCTCCGAAAGGTATTTTTATACGATGGCTATTTAGTATAACACGAAATAATATAAGCAAGAGGTAAATAGTCAAAAATTTTCTAATTTTCACTTTAAAACTCATGTCATCGGATCCTACTTGCACAAGGAAGTGGGTAGAGATCTAAATCGTTTTTATTCTATCCTTTATTTGAATAAAGAGAATAAAACTTTCATATATCAGGCTCAGTTTACCGTTATTGCAAAGCATCAGTTATTTCAAACAGAAATCTAGGTTTTATACCATCCACTTTTTTTTAAGAATCGTATGAACGACAATTTACGGTACGTCTAACGATGCAACTATTAAATAACCCAAGTTGCATAGTTATTCAGATTGCACAATTGAAAAATGTAAGATAATCTTTGTAAATAGAATAACCTTTTACGTTACATTAATAATTTGTTTGATAAAATACCTTCACCTATGCTGATTTTAGCATTATCTTTGACATAAATATATTATACAAAGGTTCTAGTCTATTAACCAATATTCGTCATCTGTGTAATTATTACAATACAATGTTTACCTTACGTCAAATCAGTTGATTGAAATTTTACTCAGGTAAACGATAATTTTATAATCAATATCTATTAGTATCCATACATTTTGTAATGAACTGCTTTTCTATTGCCTGCTACCTCGGAGGGAACGAATCTATTTTATTGACTACGTCGGTTGTTTCTAGATCATCCTGCACTAGTAGTATGAGATATTTCGTTATAAAAAGAGGGTTTTGTGGATATTATAATAATTTGATAGTTAATTTCCTGAGTCGATTAAAGCTAGACCATCCTGGAAAGCTTAGAAGCATTGGACGTCCGTTTCATCCTAGTATGAGACTTCGCAACACTGCATATCCATGATCCCCCTCACGAGATTCGAACCCAGGATCTATCGGTCTCGTGCGCGAACGCGTTATTATCTTGTCATATATGTTTCTGTTGATGACTATTTTTCAAATAAATTGTCACGATAACTCATATGTCCAGTTCTTTATGAATTTTTGTAATAGTTACATGAATGGTGATTTGAACTCGATAAAATGATTATGTGATTATTACTGTATTTCCTCGTTAGTCATATGGTTATGCAATAAGTACCCACAGCTTATACTCATGCAAAAATTGATGTGATTTATTTTACAGCACATATTTCAAATTTCGTTTTATTATTTTAGGTAGCAAATATCATGCTATGCTAGTCAAACTAAATCAAATACTTACTAAGAATTTATATAATTCAGTTGAGCATTACATGACATTAAAGCAGCCTACAACGATGTCAAACGTGGAAACTCATGGAGAAGCTTTCTTGTGGAAACAATGGGATCAGGAATATTCAGATCGATACTTTAAACTAACCCCAAGTGCATATCCAAATAAATCTGATTTTATTACAATGGAAGCAAATGAAGCGCTAATTGCATTGTTTGAAAAACATACAGAATTTCTGAATAAACTTTCTTCTCGTTATTTTAATCAAACATTTCATAGCTCTCATATACGAGGAAAACTATGGAGTATTATATTGTTATCCAGATGTAAGTATAATTATTCTATGAATTGTAATTTTGATGTAAGTATGACTTGCTGAATAACTTGTTAAATGACCGATTTGTTTTAAAGGACAAACAAGAGTTGGTTACAGGATACTAGATTAATGTATCGCTAGACAATACACTAGAACATGCTACTTGGTCACTTGACTCAACTATTCTACTGATGATCAAGAATCAGATTAGATCAGAATGAGAGTTTATTAGCACACTAAATGATATACAAGTGGCAAAAAGCTGGAATGAATTTTATCACAAAATAATCTATTACATTTAATGTAACCGGATATTTCTGTTTTCGCTCATTGACCAATCATAGTTTAATTTCACTTGATACATCTCAAATCTAAATTCCCAATTATCAAGTGCCAATTGTTTGACGAATAATCCGATGGAGTTTATGGCTAACGGTTCTAGTTTCAAGTCCTGAAGTGAACAATAATTCTGAGATACTGGTACGTCTAGCTGATGAGTCTTAAATAAGACGAAACTCGCGTCCTAGATTCCACTACTATTCATCATTATTTTCTGATTATAATGAATCCAATTTTTTTTCGTTTAGTTACTACTATAATTTTTACATATGGTATACTTTTTGTTATAACTTGTGAATCTGTGTGCCCTGTTACTGTATAACGCAACGATACCGCTGATCAGAGAGCAGCAAATTTATCGATCGGATCATTGATCCATAAAACATCTGTGAGCAGCCTAGAGTTCTGATTGGTCTCGCTTCCTGACTAGCCCAGCCGGTTGGGTCAGGAACACCAATCACAGCCTCTGTGACATGAATCATTTATTTCAAACATACAGAGTTTATATACCAATCAAACAGACCACAACGTACCATAAAACAGAAAATAACATTTGTACACTATTTGGCCAAAAGTGACTGTGAATGAGGGAGATAGTAATTAATAGACAGGCCATAACTCAAGAATGGTAAATCGTATAATAATAGTTCATAGGTCAACATAAAGCTTATGATAAGAGGGACATGAATATGAACAGTTTAGTTACATAACAATTATACGACAAAAATATACTCATAGTATTGGTCTATAAAATGGATCCCAAAAGTTACCATTCATTATGCTTATCGGGATATAACACTTTTGTTTTCTTTTGTTTTTCTTTTTAAATACTTTTTTATTAGGTAAATCTCAAAGAATAAAACTTGAACAAATAATTCAAATGTTTTCACCTAATCAAAATGAACATATTCTGGTAGAATGTAGAAACTTTTTAAACTCTTGTGTTTCCATGTCTTCTATTAAAGATTCAGTTGGTATGTCGACATTATGACATCGTCATTATTTTTCTTTATAGTATTTCTTTTCTCTTTTCTTTCTTTCTTTTTTTCTTTCTTTTTTGTTTTAGGTTGTTTATATGCAATGAATTATTTATTAAAGTTTTACCAAAAGATAATGAATATAAATGACAATGTAAAGCATCCTCATTATTATATTAAAATTGTTTCTATATTAGTTTTGGTGATGAAAGATTATTTATCAAAGTAAATTATATTAGAATTCCTAATTAATTTAATATTTTAACTAATTTTCTATTATATATTCTATATTTAAGTAGTATCTATGATAATATTGTTTGAATATACATAAATTTTATTTATATTAAAGAAATTTAAACTATTCTAGTCAACTGCAAGATTCGAACCTAGGATCTACTGGTTTCGCGCGCGAGCACTTAACCACTAAACGAAACGGCCGCCCAGTGCTTCCAAATTTTTCATGGTGTTCTAGTTTCAACTGATTCATGATCTTAACTATCGAAATTACTATAATACCCACAAAACCCATTTGATATTATTCTAGTCAACTTGAACAACTCTCAAAATGATCTTGTAATTTTGACTTTTGTTAATGATATATTTAATTATTGACTTATTGTTCAAAATGATATTCAACTTAAATGTATAAGATGCTTTTATGAGGATTATGATGTATTTTTTTAGGTTGCTTTTTGTAAAAAGAATTTCGATATGAGCATAACGTTGTGAAGATTATTAAGTTTTTGAATTGAGATCATGAATTGATTGATGTTAGACCACCATCGGAAACCTGGAAGTACTGGACGGCCGTTTGGTCCTATTATGGGATTCCTCAGCAGTGCGCATCCATGATCAGGCTCGCAGGATTCAAAACCAGGGTTTTTAGTCTCGCGCGCGAACGCTTTACCTCTAGACTACTGACTCGGCCGGCATTTAACGGTGTTAATATTTAACTTCAACTAATCTGCGAAATCGCGCGACGATCTTCCATTGTACTGAGGTAGATACTTGTCTCTACTCGACACGGATTAGCTCCACTGGTCACGGATTCTCGCTAGAACTCAGAGAATCCTCTCACGAAACTAGTTACTAGTAAGCACATGGTAATTAACAGTAATAATCTCAACAACCCTATATTGATAATTTTGATGTGATCGGATAGTTACATTTCTATGATTCATAAAGTATGTATCAAAGAATGTTTGTATAAAAATATTGAGTGAATTTCAGATTGTTTCAATTTTAAGTAGAACTTTCCTTCAAACCTGAACAAATATATAAATAATAGATTTGTCCTGTTTATATTTCAACAGTCTGTCTATTTAGGATAAAATAAATAGTGCAGTAGGATAAGGCAAAGTGGAATTTAACTGGTGATCGGCTAAGGGAAAATATAGTGACATCTGTTGATCAGAGTATTTAATATTCTTTGAAAAAGTACACTCACATAGATATATGAATATATGTCTGTGGTTTTATATGATGTGAATTTTTTCACAATACTCATATTTATTTGTCAACGAACTGAATATCTGTTGACACATTAGAGATTTTTCAACTAATAAGACACTGATGGATCCTGCGTTCGAATCTCGTGAGGCGGGATCGTGGATGCGCACTGCTGATAAGTCCGATACCAGGATGAAACGACCGTCCAATTTTTCCAAGCTTTCCATGGTGGTCTAGCTTCGATTGACTCATGAATTCAATTATTAAATTGATAAGTAAGAATTATATACAAATGAACCATTATCATAATGAGGGTTCGTGGAGTTTGTAGAAACTTAATAGTTCAGTTCATGAGTCGATTAAAGCTAGACCACCATGGAAAACCTGGAAGCACTGAACGGCCGTTTCGTTCCAGTATGGAACTCCTTAGTATTGCGCATCCATGATCATTGTAAGAGAATCAATCAATAAATTGATCTTTAGATGCTGATTAAGATTTCTTGAATATGTTTGAGTTCCTACACTTGTACTTTGTTAGTTTTTTTTGTGAGTTAACAGAAAATTATATCAGCAGTAGAAGGGAAATATTGCGCTAGTTAATCTATGTCAGTCGATAGATGTTAGAACTTCACTAATGTATTCTTTTTTCTATTCGACTATTAATTAATGTCAGAACGGGTTTTGTGGAGATTTTAGAAATTTCACTGGTTGAAATCATGAGTCAATTAAAGCTAGACCACCATGAAAAACCTGGAAACACTGGACGGCCATTTCGTCCTAGTATAGGACTCCTCAGCAGTGTGCATCCACGATCTCGCCTTTCGAGAGATTCAAACCCAGGAACTATCAGTCTCGTGCCTGGTGCTTAACCAACTAGACCACTGAGCCAGCCGGCATCCAACGGTGTTAATGTCTAACTTCAACCAATTCATGAAGTTGCGCCACCGTACACCATTGTTTTCAGTGAACAGGAATTCAGTTTTGAAATTTCCCACTTAAAGCCTAAATACCTAACTTATAACATTTACAATGTATCATTGAGTAATACCGGTTAAATTTTTCTTTAGAGAAAGATTAATTTCCATGATGTTTTCATCAATCAACTTTAATTAGATCAATACTGTTCAAGTTTGAATTTCATTCTAAATTACTAATTGATTTTATTTTCAAGAAATCAACCTCCAAATGTGGAAACTATTGGTGTACTAGTTCAAGAATTTTTTGTATTACTATCAACATTACCATCATTTATAACACAGTTGCCAACAATCTGGTTTACTCGTCAATCTTTACAGAAAGTAATACAATATGAAAATTATAAAATAAATGGCATATCTGAAATGAATGATAATAAAAATATTAAATTTAGTCAGAGTGTTTTAAAACAATTACGATATATTGATGATAATATAGCCTCTTCTGTTGTGAAACAAGTTTTGTTTGTCAAAGGTAGGTAGCAATAATAATAATAATAATAGATATCATTACCAAGGTTTGATTTGATAATTTTGAATAAATTGAGCATTGGGTAGATTGTTATAAATAAATTAATATATTTGTAATATACCAATGAGTAGAAAAATGAGATTTTCTGACGTTTCGTGACTTAGTGTGAGCCACTTCTTCAGGGAATAAATAATCAAATCAAAATTAGTCTAAGCTAAAATTGATAGTGGCTAGCAATGGAATCCAGGACATGCGTTTCGTCCCATTTTCGGACTCGTCAGCTGAATGTACCTGCATCCTAGAGTTGATGTTCACCTCGGGACTTAAGGCTATATAGACGCAATCCGTACAGGATGCACACATACCAACATGAGACTGATCAATCGCAGCCCTAAGTAACAATGGGAAGATAAAAGTAAAACAACACTGAATGAATTTGAAATTAATCTAAGTTTAAATAGTACAACGGGACAACAAGAATATCATATGATCAATAAAAAAAAACAGGTCTGAATAAATCAATGTCATATCATTTCGGTTAAGGTGATTCATAAGCGACATGTACGTAAATTTGTGTATATCTAAGTGTGCAATGCTAAGGATAGAGTTTAATTTGTAAAATGATAGTGTAAATTGTGAATAGTATCAGACTAGTTGGCTAGGGTAGATAGTCCAAGTAGGATGTATAGCAAGGCCTTCTTTTCTATTGAGAGCAGTAGGATTAAGTATTATATGGAACGCTTCAGCTACTCTCCTTTCTTTGTAATTGGAAAAGCCTTTTTGTTATATTTGACGTCGATTTGGTGGTCGTTAAAAATGGCGTGAACTGCTATTGCTGATTTAATTTGAAGTCTATCCAATTCTACGGGATTATTAGGAGGTTTCTTTGTGTACCCAATATGTTCTTAGGCACGAGTCAGTATTTCTCGAGATGACTCTTCAATACAGACGGTTTCACAATCGACACAACCCAATTTGTAGACGCAATTCTGTGTTGAAATGAATGGGAAATCTAATTTTTCTACTCATTGGGATATTACTAATGTATTATTTATAATAATAATAATAGTGAACATTTTGTTACAGTAAACTAGCATCAGCACTAGTAAATAACAACAGGGATTATAAGTCTTGCAGAAGTAGCTTATATTTTTTGTTTCAACTTCAAATTATGTATGCAAAAAGAATTTATGGTCTACCTGGTACTGGCCATGATAATCAATTGAATGCTTTCTTTCCATTGCTTTCTTTTTTCGTTCATTTTGGAAATATTTGAAATTTCGTTTCGATTAACTGACCCATAATCTGTAGAAGTATTCTTTGCTAAATTTCATTCAATCTTTATAAAACCTTCATGGTTTACTTTGGATGAGTTTTCATTTCTAAAATTTAGTTTTCATAACTAGTCTTATTATTTCGATATAACTCGGTAAAATATTCAACTCCAATTCCATTCAGCCATTTAAGTATTGAAGTTTTTTCATAGTTTATATCAAGGACTGATCCTATTTGTAATACCACTAAAAACCAGGAATCTCTAGACAACTACTTTATCCTAGTATAAAATCACTAAGCAGTGTGCATCCATGACCTCACAGGGAACAAGCTTTCCAGTGTTTACTGGTTTTCAGTAATGTTTTAAGATCAGTCAGTGACGTGAACTATCAAAGTTTAACGATATTCACAAAACTCTTGTACGAATATTATTATCATTGTTCCCATCACTATTATGAATACTTTCTCGGTAATTATTATCACTTCAATCATTTTGTTAACTGTGATCATAACAGTTAGTACACATTTATTGTACTCGGCCATGTCATAGTCTCTCTATCGCTTCGTCTGTTCATCTATAATTCGAAACTATATCAGTGTAGAAAAACTCCGTCTGTAGAGCTATTAGCGTTGTTGCTGATTCAAAATTCGGATAGAAGAGAAGGGTTGAGCATGAGGTCAGCAACCCCATCCCGTAGAAAGCAACCTTGCTAAAAATTGCTAACCAGTAAAAACAATCTGTACCATTTAAACTATGCTCCGGGAGTTGAAGGATCTTCATTTAGAAGAACTATGATGTCTCATGATAAAAGCCGAGATTCTTCAAAAATTACGAGGCCGGTTCTCCCGTCTGACAAGTAATATTGGCTTATGGAATGTTTGGACAATGTGGGGGATTGGGAGGACCAATGGAATAGTTGCAAAAATCGGAGGATCATCTTGAAGGTGCTCGGAATCAATGGAACTCACTGGAGACAAGCTGGACAGGAAAATATAGACCCAGGAGAGATGCTGCCCTACTCTAGTCACAAAGAGGAAATACTCCACACACTCAGGAGTTTGGTTTGATGCTGTCCGACGAAGCATGTAAAGCACTTATAGGATGGGAATCTCATGGACCAAAGATCATCGAATCAACCTTCAAATAAAAAAATAAAGGAATCACAATGAATGTTATGCATCCACCAATGATAGCAATGACGATAATAAAGATCAGTTTTACGAGAGGCTGCATTCGACTATAGCGAAGTGCTCAAGAAAGGACCTGAATGTCCTGATGAGAAACCTAAACGCCAACGTCGAAATGGACAACACTGGATATGAAGATATCATCGGACGACAAGGAATGACTAGGAGAAAGGAACAAGAATGGTGACAGGTTTGCAAATTTATGTGTATGAGACTAAATGGTTATGGGCGGTACAATATTGCTCTACAAACGCATACACAAAGCTACATGAATCTCACCGGATCACACTACACGGAACCAGATCAACCATATTTGCATCAGTAAAAAATTCACAAGGTCAGTGGAAGATGTTAGAACCATGAGAGGAGCGGACATAGATTCAACTCACCACCTGGTTGTGGCCAAGATGAAACTGGAGCTGAAGAAGCATTGGACAACTGGACAAACAGAATTACAAAGGTTTAACCCAGCCTCCCCTCAAGATACTGACAAACTCAACGAATTTAAGATGGCTCATAACAACAGGTTCCAAGCCCTACAAGATTCATTCAAAGAAGAGAAAATAGCTGGAAAGGGATAAAAAAAGCACTAACTTTAACACGTCAAGAAGTGCTGGGCCACAAGAAGCATCATAATGAAATGGGTCTCTATCGATATCCTTGGAAGGATTTAAGAAAGGAGGTACAAGAAGCGAGAAATTAACAACAGTCGAACAAGAACAAAGAAAGTCAAGGCACAAACAGACTGCACAGACGCAAACAAGAAAGTAATGAGGAGCATTAGGGCCGACAAACAGAAATATGTGAAAGACCAATTAACGACGGCGGAAAAAAGGTAAAAGAGGGAAATATGAGACAACGATATGATAAGACTAATAAACTAGCAGGGAAGTATAGTAAATCGGTGAGACCAGTCAAAGAATAAGAAGGTAAGCCATTCACTGAGGTTCAAGAACAGTGGAACAGATAGTTAGAACACTTTGACGAACTCTTGAATAGACCAGTCTCACTGAACCCATCGGAAATCGATGCAGCATGTACAGAGCTTCCTATATATTTCATTTCACTAACGATCAAACAAATCAACATGGTTATCAGAAAAATCAAGAGTGGAAAAGTGGCAGGACCAAACAAAATGGCAGCTGAAGCACTGAAATCAGAAATGGAAGTATCTGTAAACATGCTTCACGTTCTATTCAGGAAGATATGGGAGGAAGAACAAGTACCAACAGACTGGAAGGAGGCATATACTCTTTCACAAGGAGTAGCAGGCCTAAGTAGGCAAATAAGTATCAATGTTTAAAGTAGTAGTAATTATTTCTCATCAATAAATTAAATGACTTTATAGGTATTACATACAAAATTACTACTATAACACACTTTATTTATTTATCTAAATCAGAGCATATGTTGAAAATCTAAAGTGCAGGAAATCAAATTCTTTCACTGCATTCCATAATGTTTGTTTGTTGTTGTTTTACAAAGGAACCAACTGCATGAAAAATTCTCTTTTACATATATAAGCACTATTACATGACAATATCTAATTTGTGTACGTTTTTTTCTGATTGTCACTATTCTGTCTGTAGATATGTTAATATAACTGATATTTGGTACTAAAATCCCAAATCTTACGACCTTATTATGAATAAACAAAAACTGGTGATAAGTATTTATCTGACTGTGGCAATATATTGAAAACTATGTATGAACACATCAATTTTTATACGATTTATTTACAGTCAGACTTGTCTAAATTAAACGGATAGGTATTTAACAATAATTAATTCAAAGACTTACTATGTGAATACATGTACAATAAAAATACAATTAAACATCAACAATTAACAGGCATAACTAATTGATCCGAGGATCGGGAAAGCAAGGGCCGCATTCCTACAATTGAAGAACATATGGAACTCAAAACAACTTTCAATCAATATCAAAGTGAGAATCTTCAATACCAACATCAAGGCAGTTCTACTGTACGGAGCTGAAACTTGGAGAACTACTACAACCATCATCAAGAAGGTTGTCTACACAAGATACTCAACATTCATTGACCGGATACCATCAGCAACAGCCTTCTGTTGGAGAGAACAAACCAGCTTCCAGCTGAAGAAGAAATTAGTAAAAGACGATGGAAATGGCTAAGACATACAATACGCAAATCATCAAACTACATCACGAGACAAGCCCTAACTTGGAGTCCTGAAGGAAAGCGGAAAAGAGGAAGGCCAAAGAACACATTACGTTGGGAAGTAGAAGCAGATATGGAAAGGATTAATAACAACTGGAAAGGGTTGCCTAGGACAGGGTTGGATGGAGAATGCTGGTGTGCGGCCTATGCTCCTTCACGAGGAGTAACAGGCGTAAGTAAGTAACTAATTGATTGTCAACTTACTACTCCCTAAAATATGATGATTCCCTATTATAGTCGATCAATTTCACATATCAACTGCACACTAATCGATTAAATCATCACTCGTCATATCGGTTCTATTTATTGAGTCGTCAGACGTTCAATTTTACAATTAAGGTAGTATCTTATATTTTGTGTAGACGAATGTTTCTCTTCTTTGATCGATCAATCATGACTTACTTCCATCTAGTACATTAAGAATGTTACAAAATGATGTAATAAAATTTTTAAAGAAGTACTTCAATATATTCTGATCATTTACTTAGTTACTTTCGCGTGTTACTCCTAATAAAGGATAGGCCGCCGACTAGCATTCTCCGACCCACTCTGTCCTGGGCCTTCTTTTTTAATTCCATCCATTTCTTGTTCATATTTCTCATGTCTGTCTCCATTTCCCGGCGTAATGCGTTCTTTGGTCTTCGTCTTCTCCTCCTTTCGCCCTGAGGGTTCCATGTGAGGGCTTGTCTTGTGACGTAGTTGGGTGCTTTCCTCAATGTGTGTCCTATCCACTTCCAGCGCTTCTTCTTGAGTTCTTCCTCCACTGGGATTTGGTTTGTTCTCTCCCATAGTTGGTTGTTGCTAATAGTGTCCGGCCAACGGATCCAAAGTATTTTGCGTAGACAACGGTTAATAAACACTTGTGTCTTCTGGTTGATGGCTTTCGTAGTTCTCCAGGTTCCCGCCCCATACAGTAGAACTGTATTGACATTTGTATTGAAAATCCTGACCTTAGTGTTGGTTGACAGTTGTTTTGTGCTCCAGATGTTCTGATCATTTAGTAGAATATTAGTGTAGACAAGTGTTAATCTATTTCAGATATTGATATCATATCGAATTTGACAAATGAAGAAGATATTTGTTCAGAAATCTTCTATACATTTATCGAACCAATAATTCAATCTGTTTTCATTGGTGAGTAAAATGTTTTAATTATTAAGTTGAAAAATGAACCTAATCATATGAATTTTTTTAATTTATCACCATTTTTTAGTTTTAACAAAGGATTCACAGCAGAAAATATAGAAAATTTTAAAAAAAATCATTGAAAGCTAAGAAGCACTGAACAACGGTTCCGTACTTCTATGAAGCTATTCAGAAGTCTGTATCCACCACCTCATCAGGAATAGAATCAAGATAATTCTGTTTAGTCGTGAACGCTTATCTTTTAGATCATTGAATCAGCATTTAGTAGTATATATATTCGCAATATTCGGTGATTATCTTTCATTCTTAATGGTAGACAACTGTCTCACACCGGATGTGGTTGAACCCCATTAGTCACTGTTTATCACTAGAACTTTTAGAGTGGTATCTTATAGTCACCTTTGAATAACTTCTTAATAGTTGTAAGTTGTTATTAATCCACATCAGCAAAAATCTACGACAACTTTATTTCCTATGATATTTGTTCTTTGCATAATATATTTGGTTCATCAAAAACACTGTAGTCGTTTCTCAGTAGATAGTAAGCTTCCCATTGTTGCATATGAATGAATTAAGCAGTTAACATAAATAATTAATTGGTTAAAACGTATCCAAAAGAAAAGAAATTATTATAATATGTAGAGAGTTGGGCAACTTGTGCCGCAGGTGTTTGTAAGGCTGTGTTGGTTATTGTTTATTAAGTATATTCCTGTTAGGATGGCTTCAAAGAGCACGAGGAAACCTCCAGAGGCTCTAAAGAAACCTGATAGAACTCTCTAGAGTATTAACGTGCTATGCTGTTATTGGACAATTGTATAGCCTTCCTACTTGAGGATTAGCCGGATTATAATAATGTAATAGACAATACTATAAACTATAAGTACCCCTGCTACTTCTGTCTTTTGATTTGCGACTGTGGGTTTATATACGTTCGAGTGTTGATAGTTGCATACCGTATTCTGCCGTTATCAAGTAGAGGACGTAATAATCTCATGTTTCTTTATTTAGCTAAAGTTATTTATTTTAATACTTTTAAATCTAAGTTAATCTACGCCTAACCCATTCAGTATTGAAGACGTCACGATTTGTACCATCTAATATGTGCATTATATTTCTACTAAATTTCCATCAATTTTAAATAAATTGAAACAAAATTATGGTCCTACAGTACTATGAATTTACCGAAGTCCAAAAAATTAAACCATTGAATACCAGCTCATTGGTATGAAAGTTAAGGACTTCCCTAAAGACTTGAAGGCTCTAGGTTCAAGACTTCGTGGGATCGTGGATGCACGCTTTTGACTAACCTCATACTAGAAAGAATAGCTTTACACTAGTTTCTAGTTTTAAATGATTATTTAACTAAAGTCACCAAGTGATGGGAAACACCACAGCTGTAAACGTTTCTACATGTTACGTCGACCACAAAAATTATCGGATGAGATATTATGCTGAGAGAAATATTTCATAAGATTTGAAAATTTTTCATGAAATTTGCACAGATTTGCCATGGTTATGTAAATATTGAATCGTCTACATGATATTACATGAAATCTATAAAAGGCGAGACTATAATTTATGAACGAACCAATCAGATTCAGGATAATAAGTCTTGGATTTTGGCGCGAAATACATCCATTCATCTGGCTAAATAGTGTTCTGGTATTGTAGCTGAGGTCTGTTCATGATGAAAACCATAAATCTAATTCCTAACCCTAACCATCAACTGTAAATCATAATCTTAATTCTTCAAATTGGTTTATAACCCTCACTTAACCCTAGTAAGTAGATGGGGTTTCTCAAGATCACGTAAGCGTCACTCAAACGTCGTCCACAAATCATAGTCTCAGCCGACTGGTACTTTTCTAATACCACTCATCTATATATTAGACGTCATAGTTTCTAAATTCAATATATATTATACCTTGTTGAAGTTATACTTTTAGATGAATTTATGTAACATTTATCACAGATATTAGAAGTGATTACTGAATAGTGTTTCGCTGAATAAATTTTAAACACTCAATAATACGCAACCTTTAGTGAATATTTTTATGGAGTCTGTCAAAAATATTGTACTGACTAGTGAATAAAATAAAATCGGGTTCCATATGGTTAGGTGTTTTCTTATCAACTACCTGTAAACTAATTATTAACTCACTTGCTTTGTACAGATTCGTGTAATTACTTTTGAACCATACCCTAGGCGTGAACACTGATGGTGCTACCCGGTTGACCAGACCAAAGTAAGTCGGTCGGGGTTGAAACATGCCATTTAGCGACTGTAAATCAAACTTCCTAACTACTGACCCACTGTTCTACTCAGTTTCTTGAAATAAACGTAATTAAGTACTTAGGATGAAGGAAATGATCTTTCGGTGGGAATGCTGTCTATTTGAACATACATGAGTTTCAGGAAATCTAGCAGCTGAATTCTAAGTTTAAATAGCTATATCATAAGGGATGATTTATCTTTCTTAAATCAATAGCTGATCTTAGTTGAAAACACCATTGAAAACTTGATAAGAAGTTATATAATTTGCACAAAACCCTATACTGATGATAATCATATGCTCGCTAGTGTCAAGCTACAAGATATAATTCCTGAACTGCTGATGAGAAACAGTGATCAGTGAAGTTCAACTATATCCAATGTGAGTTAGTCATCCACCTCAAGCAACAGAAGATAGTCGAGCAATATCTTAATTGAATTGAATTTAAACATGTATACCATTGGATACTATTTAAGTAAATTAGAGTTTAAGAGTAGCAAGATCGTTTATGGATATTTCTTAGAAGTTTTATATTAGTATGAAACGGCCATCTAGTACTTTCGGTTTTCAGTTATAGTCACGAGTTAAAAAATATGGAAACTCCACAAAACTCTATACTGAAAATAATTTGTGACTGAATATGCATAATATTCAGGCAATATATATTTATAAGCAAAGATAGATAGTGGCTAGCAATAAAATCCAGGACGCGCGTTTTTTCCTATTTGGAACTCAACAGCTGAATTTACCTTGCCAATGTACATGTGCCAATAAGAGACTCATCAATTACAGTCCTAAACATCAACCTCTTGACAGGTTGAAGTTAATGCCTCTTTGATACTTTTCCAGTTGTCTTCCATAGTAGTTTCTTCTTCTTTCAGTAGATCCTGTAAGACTTGGAACCTGTTGTTGAGAGCTATCTTGAATTCATTGAGTTTGTTAGTATCTCGAAGGAAGGTTGTATTGAACCTTTGTAGTGCTGTTTGTGCAATTGTCCAGTTCTTCTTTAGCTTCAGTTTTAAATTGGCCACAACTAGGTGGTGATCTGAAGTTGTGTCAGCTCCTCTTCTGGTTCTCACATCTTCCATTGTCCTTCGGAATTTTTTATTAATGCAGATATGATCTATCTGGTTCTCTGTAGTGTGGTTCGGTGAGATCCATGTAGGTTTGTGTATACGTTTGCGTGGAAATATTGTGCCCCCTATGACCAATTTGTTGAATGCGCATAGATTTGAAAATCTCTCCCCATTTTTGTTTCTCTCCCCCAGTCCATGTCGTCCCATGATATCTTTATATCCAGTGTCGTCTATTCCGACTTTGGCGTTTAGATCTCCCATCAGAATGGTGAGGTCTTTTCTTGGGCACTTCTCTATGATTGGTTGCAACCGCTCGTATAATTGATCTTTAATGTCGTCGTTGCTATCATTGGTGGGTGCATAACATTGAATAATATTCATTGTAATCCCCTCCTTCTTTGTTTTGAATGATGCTTTGATGATTCTGGATCCAAGTAAACCATACCAAGTGAATTTAATATATATTTATGTTTCTTATAATCTTGTTTAACTTAATATAGAACAAACATTCCTTTTTTTAGTATCTAATACTTACAAGTAAATATCTTTTTTAAACTATCCTTTTAGGTTATTTATCTCAATCTACATTATTGTATATATGGGATCAGTTAATGTTATGTATTGCTGGAGCTGAACCAATTGAATCCAATTTGTCATATATTTTAAGTTGTTTCATAGCTATTTTCATTTTTCTATGCTGGATTAGAATACCAAATCATTCTCTATCTGATATAAGTCAATATGAACATATAAATACAATTGATGAACAAAGAGAAATAAGTAGGAAAGAAATGACTTCATTAAATGAACAATTCCTTATAATTGGTCCAAAATTAGAAAAAGATGATTTTCAGTTTTTGGTAAATAATATACTCATGAAAATTATATTTATGCTTACCGATGAATTTACTATAATTATTGTATTAAAGACGTTTATGAACCTCCTATATCAACCTGCCTCGATATGCTATGCTCAATGGTATAGGAGTAGGTTGGAAGAAAGTTAGGGGCGGCCAGACTAAAACATGGCACAAGTCCATGAAGTCACTGACAAGTAGACTGAGTCATATTGGTAGGTGTAGACTACCTGGTTAGGGACCGCGAGATGATAGCAACCGATGGTTAGAGACCCTGAATGATATGACTCAAAATCGTTTGCAATGGTGTAGGTGCATCCACTCTTTGTGTTCTTCCAAATTCTAATCTCCTGAATCCTCCTTGTCTCTTTTTTTTCTCTTTCCAAATTTATTTCACTGGATTATATTTTTTAAATAACATGTTCAAACTCTAATCTTTCCGGTTAATGCTAATACTCTTACCGCCTCTACCACTACGGGATTGGAATCTACAACTGCATCTTCGTGCTAATGTGGTGTGGCAAATCGAACTGATATATGTACGTACGAAGTTCTACGTTGTTACTGACTGACTGACGGACTGATATTAACCTTGATACCACAACTATACCTCTATGCTAATATGGTATGGCAACTCGAACTGATGTACGTTCGTACGAAGTTCTATGTTGTTACTGACGGATTGACTGACTGACACTAAAACTCTTTCAGTGTTTTATTCTCACAGAAGTAACATTTATTGTCTAATCATTGAAACTGTCATTTATAACTATAGGTACTAGACAGAGAGATCTTTCACAAAGTAAGTTGATTTATTTATAAATAATCCGTTGATTCTAACAGTATTTTCATTACTTTAAAGCTAATGTAATAAATCATAATGAAATCCTAAACAACTCATAGAAATATTCATATTAAAGACTTGCTTTAATTGAATGATTTATTTAATTAGAGCAAAATTACTCCCAACTATTATCTTATCTCAACATAGTGCACGCAATAGTGAGTCACCTAGACTAGTGACCATATAGCAACTTGGTCGATAGGATTCGATCTACACTAAGAAGGACCTGACAAACATGATATTGATCACCATCCAGTGATCAATCTATTGTAAAATATGAACAACAGGAGAGTTCAAAACTAATAACCAGAAAGAACTATGCACAGAAAGCTTAATACTGCTTTTTCACCTTTCAAGCCATTGTTGAAATCATAACGACATGAAAAAACTTTATAGGAAATGAATAGAATAGTTATGCTAAGCTTCAAATTACAAAAGACCGGTATATTAGTTCCATAAAGGAGGTAAGGATTCCAACCATATTATTTGAATTTACATCAATAGAGTAGTAGTCATTTTTTATGATAAATAATGTATTTCAACGGAATTGAACACGAGAAGACGAGTGGGGACACCCAAATGTATTTGAACACGTAATTACAGAGTATCTCACAGAAATCTGTGAACCATATGGTAACTCGTTAATTTGCAAAATATCAATCCATTGTCACAGATTTCATTGTTCATGCATTTTCATACCAATTGCGTTCCGTTCCCGTTCCTTCCTTATCGATCTACTTGAAATAAATTCTGTGCCTGACCAACGTTATATACTACTTATGTCAATATAAGTAGCCTACACGACAATAGTATTTAAGATATTATATGTATTTCAAAATATCTCTTTACTTTTACAATGTCACAGATAAAGAAATATTTCTTCATGGATATTTTCTGTCTATTAACCGGTACACAACAATACAACACTAATAGTTGTCTTTTATCAAATGATGGACTTTGTAAGTGATGCAATAGTTGAATTTATTCAACATATTATTTTGATGAAGTTTAATTTTAAAAAGTTTAAAAGTGATTTCTAAAAGATCTTGTGATGAATTAGTTCATACGACGTGTATATCAGATTTTGTTATGTTAAATAGAGGCTTTAAAATATTCTCCCGATGATGAAATAAGTTCTTGAGGATAGTATTACGGTTAGTTGATGCCCCCAAATGCCCTGGTACTGTTGAGAGTGGGAAGAGTCAGCTCTCCCGTTCGAAATCATTTCAAGTGGTCACGTGCATACAATCACTGACAGTAAAGTCCTACTCACTGCCTTCTCGTGGAGGGGTGTTGTTTACGATAAGCGAATATCTGACGCCGTAACCGGGTTGGTGAATATGGAGTTAAAAAACCCCAATTCCAAGCCAATGGTGCACATGGGCTCCAGGATCCTAAGGAAACAAACGGCGTATGAACTCATTATTGGTCACCGGCTACCATGAGACTACATCTCCTTACGTTGCTCCACTGCCTTATGGATTAGACCTTTAGGTCAAGGGCTCGGGATGTGACTCCCTAAGAAAACCACCTACCTCAGTTTGAGGACCCGAGCAGTATTCCAGTCCTCACATAAATCGAATGATTTATGTCGTGCATATCTGTTTGTTGCCTCCTTGTACCAATGTTTATGTGTTTAAATAAATAAATGAATTAGTTGATGCTAACTTTTTTGATTTAGCAACTATACAATTAGTGTTGATTTTGATGAAGCTTAGTCTCAAAATCTTCATTAATTACAGGGTCGAAATAGGCAAGAATTGAATTTATAAATGATAGAACTACAATAAGTTTACTTACCTTGTACGAAATTTGTAAGATAAACTTTTCAACCTCTTTAATTAACCTATAGAATTAAAAACAATGTAATGTTAAAAACATAAATTATTACTTCAGATTACTGTTCTCGTTCATTAAAATAAATCTTGTTCCAAAATTATAGCTGTTCTTATTTGTATCAAGTTCAATGAAGTTCAATGGTTAGAACATACTAGAAATGGAAGACCATAACAATTCAATATATTTACTATCTAATTGTCCACTAATGATATTTATGAAAATTCAATTCAATGATTGACATTTGTTTTTCAATTTAAACACTAGTAACATCAACTGAATGGTCGTCAATATTGAGAAAGTCTCATCTCATAGATCCTAGTAAACGTAAAGAACAAAGATTACTACATTATGCAGAGTTGGAAAGGTGATTATCTTTAAATTGTATATATATTTTAATATTTAAAACCTGGTAAAACGTTTATTCATTGTTGCACAAAATGTAAACACGTTTCAAATGGGTAAATGTATACAGAAAATTAATTTACTTGGCAACAAGTTATTTATGATCGACATCTACTATATTGGTAAATATTAATCATTTAACAGTTGGATTCATGAGTCGATCTAAGCTAGACCACTATTGAAAACCTGGAAGGCACTAGACGTCCGTTTCGTTCTAGTATGGGACCCCTCATCAGTGCGCATTTACGGCCACATATGATTGGCTCGAACCCAGGACCCTCGGTCTTGCAGGAAAAAACAGTGGAGCCCAACCAACCATGTCGGGTAGAGACAGGTATCTACCTCAGACAATTGATGAATGGTTGCGCAAGATCATGGATTGATTGGAGTTAGACATGCCGGCCGGCTCAGTGGTCTATAGGTTAAGTGATCACGGGCGAGACTGAAGATCCTGGGTTTGAGTCTTGTGTGTAGAGTCATGGGTGCGAATTGCTGAAGAGTCCCATACTACAACGAAACGGCCATCCAGCGCTCCCGGGTTTTCCAATGAGGTTTAGCTTAGATAAATTCATGAATTCAACTGTTTAAATTTACCAACCGATGTGACTGTACAAAATAATTTAAATCATCATAAACTTCAATAATAATTTGATTGTTAAAGCAGTAAATTGATAAATCATTCTAGACTATTTAATTTATTCAAAATTACAGATATCTGAACATTATAGATTTGGATTAATTATTGTTGACTTTAAATTTTAGATTACGAAATACTGAAGATCATCTCATTAAAATGCAAGATCAGTTAGATGCTTATAAAACTAGATTAAAAGAAGCATCAGATGAAATTTCTCACAGTAAACGTTTACTTAGTCAATATGTAACAAAACAAGATTATTCACCTAACAAGGTATGTTTACATGAAACTTTGATGGAATACTGTACACATAATAACTTTAGTTATTAATTTATCTAATTTGTTCATCATACTATATTTCAGAAATGTGGATATGTTGACTAGAATTAAAGCTATTTTAATAGAATTATGAAAATAGTGTTTAATCATTAAATATTTATCAGAAGGGGTTTTGTGGAGATTTTAGAAATTTCAATAGTTGAAATCATGAGTCAATTGAAGCTAGATCACCATGGAAAACCTGGAAGCACTGGACGGCCGTTCCGTCCTGGCATGGGACTCCTCAGCAGTGCGCATTCACGATCCCGCTCTCCACGAGATTTGAACCCAGGACCTATCAGTCAGCGTTTAATCACTAAATCACTGAGCTGGCATCCAACGATGTTAATGTCTAACTTCAACCAACCCACGAAATTGCTCCACCGTACACCATTGTCTTCAGTGAGCTGATATCTCACAACAGACCTGGTTGAACTTCACTGGTCACAGCTTCTAACTAGAACTCCAGGAAATGCATCTTGAAGTCAGTCACTAGTGAGCAAATGATTATTATCAGAAAGGGGGTTTTGTGGAGATTTTAGAAATTTCAATAGTTGAAATCATGAGTCAATTGAACTAGACCACCATGGAAAACCTGGAAGCACTGAATATATTTAGTTAACCTCAAACATTTCCTTGATTGTCTAGCATAAATGTATGACTATTTGTTCATTTATTTATTTTTTTTTTAAAAAGATTGTTTGACCTTAAGAATGAAAAGATGAGTTACACTTTTCTTTTCTCTTACAGTTTATAAATCAATGTACAAGAACTGGTTATGGTTTATTGATTGATAATTTAGTATATTTCATTTTTAGCTTGCAATGGAATCTAGGATGCTTATTTCATCCTATTTGGGAATTTATAATGATGTCCAAACTGTAATCATAACCCCGTATATTTTACTACAAACGCCAAATATATTGTTTTCTGATCTATTGAATCCTAACAGTCCCTAATTTGTTCAACGGATATGTTGATTACAGTCCTAATTATCAATAATGGGAAATCACAAACCCTTTATCATAGTACTACTGTAGTTCATATAAGTAATAAATCACTTGTAGAGAACACTTTAATCAATGATCTATCATCCTTTGGTTGTGATTTATTCATTAGTGCAATCCTTTAGGTTTTAAGCATATTAATGAACACTAGCTAGCGGTTATTACATTAGTTTTATCAGTAGTAAAATATATTACTACGTCATTTTAAGATGAATCACAATAGCACAACTATCATCAGTAGTTAGTAATTGAAAATAAAAGACTTTATGAGAAATAATTCTCCGTTTTACAGATTTTGATAAAGTAATAAGATAAGATTCTCACCTATTGATCGGAATTCAATTCAATTCTAGACATTTATTTGGGGATATTGTTTTCTATGACCTGGTTGGTGTAACTGTAAAGTTTTCATTGTTTTTCAAAACAAAACCAACCCAAAAACCAGTTAGTGACAAGTTGTTAGGATACTTTTACTTGAAAATTATTTTATTGACACTCAAGTTGATTGGTTGTTATTCATGCTTATTTGTTCGTTGTCATAGTATTCTTTTTTTTTCATTGGAATCATGAATCGTTCAACGTTAGAAAATCATCGAAAAACTGGAAGCACTGGGTGGCCGTTTCGTTCTAGTATGGTACTCCTCAGCAATGTCCATTCACAACCCTAAGGCGGGATCCGAATTCACAACCTTCGGTTTCACACAAATGCCTAATCTCTAGACCGATGAGCCGGCATCCGATGGTGTTAATGTATAACTTTAACCAATCCACGATTTTGCACGACCATCTTCCTTTTGCCTCATACCCAACACAGTTGAACTCCATTAGTCACTACTTCACACTAAACCTTTAAGAATTTTCTCTCGAGGCTAGTCACTAGTTGTGGTGTATGCTACTGACATCAACAGATATGAGTAGTACGTATCACCAGTCGAAAATGGAATGCCTGGAAGCAGAATATTGAGTAAATCAAGGAGAAGAGAATGAGAACAGAGAGTTATTGTTATGGAAACGAAGGAACAGCAATTAATGGATATTTTGCAAATGAAGTATTTACTATATGGTTCTCAGATTTTTTAATAAACGGAATACACCCATTAGGACATTAAATAAGAAAGATTAGTTCAGCGAAGAGTTCTCTTTTCGGCGAATTCATTTTCAAAGCTGTACAACCGCAAATATATATAATTATTTTTACAGGACGATAATAATACTGATAATAAACTTCTGTTATACATGATGACAGTGAGGTTAAATAAACAAAGGTATTAAAACGTTTTTAAAACAAGTAAAGTTTAATAATCGTTTAATAGTTAATGGCTTAAGTATTCATTGGGTAAGGATGGCTCAACATGACAAAATAAAATGTTGAAACACAGATGAAATGTAATCGGAATGATCGTGGAAATAAAAAGATTTGAAGGGAAGATGGAAGGTGAAGCAGGTGGCTGTAAGGGAACAAGAGTATGAAACAAGAGAAAAAATTTTAATACATTAAGACCATGGTAGAAGAAGAGGTTGTACCAGTCTCTTTTGCACACACAATTCTGGTTTTTCCAGAAGTATGGCTATTGCTTCAGCAATGCAGAAAAGATGCAGTCTAATTGTCTTAGGAAGGCTTCTACTTACCTTGTAGATGACTTTGAATGCAGAGTCTGTCTTGATTGAGTGACCTGTGTTCACAAGGTGTTCGATTATAGAACTTCTTATTGAGCCGTTGCCTCCTCTTTTTAGCCACGCCGGACAATGTTCTTGAATTCTTTTGGATAAAATACGCATCGAACGACCTACATACACATTGAGTTGGTCAGATGCGATAATTTATCTTTCAGATTATTGGTGAACAGTGATCAAAAACGAGTATCCTTCGATATTCATTGATAAGAACATGAAGCCGAAAACGCCAAAAACACAAATAATCACAGTAGAAAAGAAAACTTTATACATGAACATCGACTTCAAATGTGATAGAGCCACATATATTTTAAAGAGGAGAATTTCTGATCCCTTAAAAAGAACATTCTTCGCAGCAACATTACGAATATTATTCTCCAGTCGATCACTGTTTCCACATTCCTCAGACGAATATGTATCCAAAATTGTCTACATGTATAAACCATTATATAAAAGTACATCTTGACATTTGACAATTCATTTATCCTCATTCAAATGAAAATGAACTATGTCAATTGTAATGAAACATTTGTTTATTCAATAGTTTTATATTTATTACGTAACTTATTATTTCTTTGTTTTATCATTTATTATTAATCAAGGTTGATGAATTCAATGATCACAAAATGAATTCATCATTAAGTAAAGTAAAATGGAAATCAAATTTGCATAAAATTACACTTTTAAGAAATGTAGCACAGAATTTTGGCGCGAATATTGAAAATTCAAATCCTTTAAAACAATCACAAGTGATACAAACTGAATATGATTGAATTATTTAAAAATCAACAAAAAAATGTTTGTAACACAATGATTTCTGCTTAGTTTAACCATTTTGTTTCATTATTTTATTAAAATCGTACTAACTTGATAATTATCTTCCTACCAATATGGGGTTGTGGAGATTATTAAGTTTTTGATTATGATCATGAACCGATTGATGTTAGACCACCATTGAAAACCTGTAAGCACTGGATGGCCATTTCGTCCTATCGTGGGACTCCTTGGCAGTGTGAATCCATGATCCGTGTCGGGTAGAAACAGGTATCTACCTCAGTAGAATGGAAGATTGTCGCGAAATTTCGTGGACTGGTTGAGGTTAGACATTAACACCGTTGGATGCCGGCCAGCTCAGTGGTCTAGAGGTTAAGCGTTTGCGTATGAGACTGAAGGCCCTGGGTTGAAATCCCGCGAGCGGGATCGTGGGTGCGCACTATTCAGGAGTCCCACAATTGGACAAAACGGTCGTCTAGTACTTTCAGGTTATTAATGGTGGTCTAACATCAATCGGTTCATGATCTTAAGCAAAAAATTATCTTCTGATGGTCTAGAAGATGTCAGTAATAATATTCAGCTGTTGAACTTTCCTGGCATGTAGGACAAAATAATTTAAAGTAGAAAATAAAAACTGCTTACTCTAGAAAAGATAAACAAATTTCTCTGTTGTATCTCAATGCTAAACAAAAGCAAGCAGTGATTAATAAATGAATAGCAAAGTGTGTCATAGTTTAAATCACGAATCGACATTGTCTAAATATAGGACTATTCAGGGATGAAAATCCATGACGCTACCACAGGAAATCATAGCTTGGTCCTTTTTGTAAACGCTTTTCAGTGGTCCTTTAGCTACGACCTGTTCGTAGTTTAAACTATAAGAATTCATCAATCTGCACAAAGCCCTGATGGTTTCTTAATGATGTAGAAAGCTCCTAGTGAATGGACCTCTACAGGCAAAATGGTATTTAAGTTAAAACAAGTCGTTATACGTTCTCTGAACAATTTAGCATTTATACTGGGTTATAATGTACAATAAAACAGTCAATGTTAGCTTTCATAAAGAATATTCACCATATATGATAAGAACAGAACCGTTAAATTTGCTATTGCAGAACGACAACGAAAGGATTGTTGATATTGTGATCTTTATCAAAAACTGTGATCACTAGGAAATATATGAGTAAGCATTATCTTTAATATTCTTTTAGTATGCCTAAAATAAGACTGAAGCTGATTTTGAAGTTAGATTAATTAATGACTGGAAGTTCAAATCACCTCCTTCTACACTGAGTTGAGCCTAATGTTATTTTAAGTCACCACAATAGTTAAGTCAAAGGTAGACATATAGTCTCTTCACGTCATCACAAACTACGTTTTCCAATTTGAATGTAGTTCAAAATCATACACTACGAGTAAAGAAAGATAGATCACCACTAGTTTTCCTAAGCACCCACCGAAAACTTTACATCTCAGACGATCACTCATCAACAATCATTCAATTATTTATTATACACTTGCTGTTAATAATCAAATAATCTTATGTATGTTCTTAGAACAAAGAGTAGATAAAATAATCTCGGTTTACTTCACATTATATAAATATTTTCAATGAGAAAATTACAGTATGATTGGAGTATTCAAAATGTTTCAACAGTTATTCTTAAATTATCACAGTAACAAGTCCTTATTACTATGATTACATCATTAATGAACACATTTATCTTAATCTGTTGACTTAATAATTGGTCCAATATAGACTTATACATAATATCAGAAGAGGTTTTGTGGAGATTGTAGTAATTTCAATAGTTTCGCGCGCGAGATCGATGGGTCCTGGGTTCGAATCCTGCGAGGCGGAGTAGTGGATGAGCACTGCTGAGGACTCCCACGACGGGACGAAACGGCCGTTAAGTACGTCCAGGTTTCCCATGGTGGTCTAGCTTCAATTGACTCATGATTTCAACTATTAAAATTACTTGTATATAACTGAAAAATAATACAAAATATCAAACAATTATTTATTAATACTCTGTAGAACTTAGTATTCAATGACTTCATAAATCAATCCAAGAGTATGAATTATTTAAATCTTAGAACAGAAATAAATTAACATTAAAGTAAGGTAACCAGTTTATTTCATTTTTGTATTAGTTTTTTGAATCTTCCCATTAATGTTTAGGACTGAAATTGATCAGTCTCTTTTATTGGCACATATGCACCGTGTGCAGATTATCTCGATATTGCCTTCAGTCACAAGCTTTATAAGCAGCTAAATGAATAACGCGATAGTGTTTGAAGCGAACGGTATTAGGTTTGAGTCACGGATGCTGAAGAGTCCCAAATAGGAAGAAACACACAACCTGTGTAGTGTGTGCTACTGATATCGATAGATATAAACAGTATGTATCATCAACCGGAAGTGAAATACCTGGCAGCAAAAGATTAAGAAGATTGAAGAAAAGAAAACGAGAACAGAAAATGATTGATGTGAAAATAAAAGAACAATGAAGTTTTGAGGCAACTGTTTGGCATTTTTCAGAAGGAACAGCCAAGTTTTAAACAATTGATTACACTTTGCAAAAGAAGTATTTACTGTATGGTTTTCAAATTTTACTAAAAGATTCTGTAATTTTGTGTCGAAATACATTCGATTTCCCCCATTTGTGTTCTCGTTCACTATATTTGGTGTCGCTGCCAACCAAGTGCGGAGGAAGGGTGCTGTTCTGTGGATGCCGTTGCGAGCCTGGATCTAAGGTGCTAGTTGAAGCGGTCTAGTGCGAAGAGGTGACATCGAGTAGGGTGTCTTGGCGAGGCGGCGTTGTCTGTAGTGGGTGCTTTCAGAGGGGAGGGATGCACTACTGACCTCCATCAACTTCAGTTTATTGTTTGATATAAAAAAATACTAGTAATAATAGTAAGGCGTTGTCTCTTACATATAAACTAAGTAAGAATAAATGTTCAGTATTCTACACACACAGTATTGTATACGCAAATTCATACAGAATAACATATTTCAAAGATAAAGATGAATTAATGAATAGTTTGTTTCAATATTTATGTCCTCTTTTTGAAAAAAAATTACCAATATTTTACTTTGATTGTAAAGTAGTAATTAAAATTTCCAAACATCTACTTATTTATGTATTAAACTTGATATTCAATTATAATCTCAAATGACAAGAATCATTACCTCTTGTCCTTAAATGAACATCTTTATAATGAAAAATAAAAGATTTGTTTGTGTTGTAGAGATTCAGAAAATTCCTTGAAAAAAGCCACACAAAAAATAGCTCTGAAAACGTTAAGTAACATCTTATCCAATTAGTATTCAATAGACGTTTTTCCAGGAACGTCTAGAAAGTGAAAAGTCACATGTGGCGTTTCTGATTGGATGATTACTTATACTGCTATGTTATATCCTAGTGAAGATTAAATTACGAGTAACTTCCGGGAACGATTAGTGGACTAATATTATCTATATATTCTTATAGTGTTACTATTCAGTAATTCGATTATGTATATTTATATTCCCCTTATTATAAGCTTCATTTATACCTATAATTTATCATTATACGATTTACTGTTCTTAAGTTATGTTCAGTTTATTGATTACCGTCTCCCACGTTCACAGCCACTTTTTGGCTTGATCATGTATAATTGTTATTTCCTATTTTATGGTGTGATGAGGTCTGTTTGGCTGGTATATAAACCAAGTATGTCTGAAATAAATGATTCGCATAATGGGAGCTGTTATTGGTATTCTGGACTCAATTGGACGGGCTAGGTGAGTAAAGGATCAATAATGACGCTAGGCTGCTCACATCGGTCGAACATCATTGGTTTGGCACAATATTAAAATTGCATAAGTCGTATTTCGATTGGCGAATAAATTACGTGATACTAGCCGGGCTTAAAGTCACATTATGCTACTACGTTTAGTAACGTTCCGAAAGAAGAGATTAGGAAACCGAATCTAGCGTTCAATTAGACGACTTATCAATTTGTAATTTACTACTAATGTAGATTTTTGATTATATTCGAAATAATGAATAATGAATCATCATTAGTCTGATAGATTTAATCGACACAAGTTAACTGGAATGATGTAACTACTTAAATTAAACAGTTTTATGTTAGTTTTATCATCTAATAACTTTTTAGTTTGGCTCACTCTAACTAAGCAACTATACTTTTCTATTGGTTTAATATATTCTACAATGAATTGTTACCATTAGAAGTTTATATTTAAAAGTATAGATTGAAAAAGAACAATCAGGACATGTTATGATCAAGCTACAGTACATCACAGTTTCATGCCACCGATTTATTAATCAACATCAGATATCACTGACCTTGAAGATTTACCATAAACAGTTTAAAATCTTGTGAACATTCCTCCATGGTAAATATATATTGAAGATAATATATAAATTAGATAGGATTCAATGTTGTTTCACTAACCTCACATTATTATTAAATGTTTATTATCGTTATTGGTTTATTTCGTGTTTATTACCTTCCGTGAACTCTACTTGTTACATACAGTCTAAGTTAGTCTACAGATAAATATACTTTTGATCATAGCTCCTTGTAGAGTATAACAATTAACATATACATTCTTGAACTTTCAACTTCATTACCACGATGACAATGAGAATTGTAACAGTATTAGTAGCATTGAATTAAAAAGCTAGTATTTTACTTTAGTCATCACAACTGACTAAATATATACAAGCTTATCGTTGTTAATTATGATAAGTATGAATGCAAATAATTGTATTAAAATGACTTGCTCAATTGTCCCATCTGTTCTGATTTAGTATCATATAAAATACATGGTTGCCTCAAATGCATCAGCCACACAATAGGAATGAATCTATTATACATAATTCAGAGCATAGAATTCGTATTACAATACTTTTAAAAGTCAAGGATGTAGAAATATTTACATGTTGAAAACTGAAATGTCAAAGTGTTCACAATATTAAAGTTCTCG